GTCAAATTTTAAAACTTTCGACATTACAGGTCCGAACAAGAAAAACAAGACAAAATGTATATCTTTCAATAACCTGAGTTTAGAGCTCTGGAATGAAAAATAGACTCTTAACCATCCTTTTTGGCAATCCAATCGTATAAGATATACCCGGTTATTGTCTTGACAAACTTTCTAAATCGAACTTTTCACAGTGTTTTCTTTTGGTGCAAGCGAGTCCGAAAAGGATTTTATTCCTAATCTTAACGACAAAGTAATTACTGACAAACCAATTAAGTTAAAAACTCAATTATATTATTGATCTTCATATTCGAGTAAAACCAGTAAATCTAAAGATTAAGAAGCTGATTTTCAATACAGCGTTCGAAAAAATCAGATAAGTTAAATAATTTATTTTTGTTTGTTTGGTTTTTGGTAAGTGATATCATAAATTGTTCTTTTCCATCTTTAAACCAGTCTCTCTTTATTATCTTTCTTGCTTACCTGGTAGATATTTACAATTGATTCATCGTTGAATGGCTACCAATTTCATATCTGTTGAGTTACTTATATTACAACATGACCGATTAAATTCGATTAGCACAAAAGGATTAGAAGTACAGGATGCTGATCATTACTAACTGGTCTGTCAACTGTAAGTAGATAGGAATCTACTGATTCGTTGTTCTGTTTTCTAACACCTGCTCGTTTCGAAGTTTGCCGTCAATGATTATATTTCTGCAGGTTATCATCATCGGATTACGATTCACATTGATTCAGAAAAATAATAATAAAATTACTAAGTACTTTCTACTTGAAAATTGCGAATTGTGCCATATGAATAGAAACATAAGGAAAGATGAAAATTTCGCTTACATCAACAGTAAACTAAAATATATAAGTATACTGATTTATATATGACTTATTTACAATCATATTAGTAAACCATATTTGTATGCATTGAATAGCGTAGCATTTAACATCAGTTAAACAATAACTTTAAAAATAGAGATGTGCAATATTTTAAAATCACATGACTATAACTAACATATATAGTTAATTTGTTGGGTTAAGTAATCACTACTTCATAAGATGTGATTACATTTCATAGACGATTGAAAAAAGGTCAATTTCTTATGTCATTCTCGCTCTACTTACTGGACCAAGCAACTGTATATAAAGTTCAGTATTACTGTGTTATGTCACCAACAATAAAGAAGTTTACTTCGAGTCATTCTCAGCTTATATATATATATATATATATATATATATATATATATATATATATTCTCGTGATCGAATAACATGTCTTACTCTTGATTTCTTGCTTCATTTTGTCAGTTACTTTTCCACTTATCACTGTACGTGATTAATACGCGATTGATCACTGAGAAGTGACTAATGTAATATATGTCTAGTTCTTTAGTGAAAATCAAATTCTATTGGTAAAAGTGCAATATGGTTACAAGTCACAGTGACCCGAGATCGCGTACGCTTTGTTGAGATCTCGGATTTTTGAAAGCTATAGACACGAAACCCTATTAGATCTAGGTTTGTGCTATTCAGTACTCGTCAGCAAGGCCTATCAATGTGTCAGAGGGAAACGATGTTTTTTGGTGGATTCGATATAGAGTGACAATCATTTGCATTCTTGTTAATCATCTTCTAGCATGTCAAACAAATTTTACTACTAAGCACTCGACTCCTAGATTCTATGAGGTCTGATAATAAAAATAAATTAATCATATAAGATTGATGACTAACTTTTCTACATTTTCTATGTTATTTCTTAGAAAAACCTATATTAGGCAGTCAAGAGAACGATGAAGTAGAAAATAACCCACTAGATCTAGCACAAATACTGATTTGTGTTTTAGGAAACAAACATTCACTATACAGAGTCACTGGAATACAAGCGAACTATTTTAACGTAATTTATGGACTTCAATGAATCTAATTAGTTATTCAGTGAGCCAGTTGTAGTACATCTCATAAAACATAATGAATTTGCCCATTTTTCTACTGCTTATTTTCCCTCATTTGACCATGTATCTCTTGTTTCTCGTGTCAGATGTGGAAAGATTCTTTTCGAAGTTACATTCTTCTTCACTTGGAATGAAAGAACATTTACTAATGCATTCACGCCTGATAACCCTCGTGGAAGAGCATAGGCCACCCAATAAAACTCTCCATCCAACCTTGTCTTGGGCGGTCCTTTACGGTTCTTTCTAGTGGCTATTAATCCTTTTCATATCTGTTCCATCTTCCGACGTTGTGTGTTCTTTGTCTTTCCTCTTTTTCGTTTCCCCTCAGGATTCCAAGTTAGCGCTTGCCTGGTGACGCAGTTTGATGATTTCCTCAATGTGCGTCCTATCCACTCCCAAGGTCTTTTTCTAATTTCCTCTTCAGCTGGAAGCTGGTTTGTTTTTTTCCCACAGTAGGCCGTAGCAGGTGGTGTATGGCCAACGGATATTGAGTATCTTGCGTAGACAACTGTTTATAAATACTTGTACCATTTTGATGATTGTAGTAGTTCACCACGTTTCACCTACATGCAGTAAGACTGTCTTGATATCCACTAAGGTGTTAAGGTCTTCATAATGTAGTCGACCATCGGATGAATGAGAAAATTGGGGGGTTAGCAGCCTTGTCTAATACCAGTCCTCACTTGGAACGCGTGTGACAGCTGTTCTACACGCATAACATTGCAGTAAAATCTGTTTTATGAATTTCGTACGGTGTTGACGATCTTTTCAGGTACAACGTAGTGTCGAAGAAAGCTCCATGTTGTCTTTCTATCCATGTTGTCAAATTCTTTCTTATAGTCAAAGAATTTACTGTTTAGTTAAGGGTATTATCCAGTTGATTGCTTATCAGTGATCCATAGTGTTGTGATTGGGTCTGTTCACAACTGATGCTTAGAGAATCGAGCTTTTTGTTCTTGAATTTAGGTAACTATCGGGTCTTTCGATTCAGCAACACTCTGTTGATAACCTTTCCTGGTATTGACAATGGTGTGACGCCTCTATGCTTTCCACGTTTGTTCAGACTTTTTTCTTTGGTGTCTTGATGAGGTAACATTCCTCCCAGTCCATCGGCACTTGTTGTTCATCCCAAATCTTCCTGAGTAGAACGTCGAGCATGTTTGCAGTTACTTCTATGCCTGAGCTTAGTACTTCGGCTGGTTTATTGTTAGATCTTGCTGCTTTACCACACTCGATCTGTCTGATGGCCATCTTGATTTCTTCGATCGTTGGTGGAGTGACATTTATGTGAAGGTCTGTATGTGCTGCTTCGATATTCTGCGGATTCAATGGAGCTGTTCTATTTAAGAGTTCTTTGAATTGTTCCACCCACCTGTTCCTCTGTTCTTGAATTCCAGTGGTTTGCTTGCCTTGTTTGTCCTTGACCGGTCTCTCTGATTTATTATATTTCTGTGCCAGTTTCTTCATCATGTTATAAAGTTGTTGCATATTTCCTTCTCTTACAGCTTTTTCTGTTGTCATTGCTAACTCTTTCACGTATTTTGCTTTTCGGTTCTAATGTTTCTCTTCACTTACTTGTCTGCTTTTGTGTATTCAACCTGTGCTTTGACTTTTTCTGTTCTTGTTCGACTGTTAATAATTGATGTCTTCTTGGTCCTTCATTCTATAGAAAACCACTCATTTGATGATTCTTCTTGCGGCCCAGAACTTCTTGCCCCTTTTTACTCATTTCCAAGTTGTCCTCCATGTTAGTTTCTTCTTCTTTCAGTAGATCCTGTAAAGCTTGAAACCTGATGTTGATAGTTATCATGAATTCGTTGAGCTTGTCAACATGTCAAAGGAAGGCTGTATTAAACCATTGTAATAATGTTTCCCCAGTTGTCTAGTGTTTCATTAGATTAAATTTCATCTTGGCAACAACCGGGTGGTGATTTGAAGCCATATCAGCTCCTCTTCTTCTTCTCCTCACGTCTTCCATTGTCCTTCGGGATTTTTCAATGTGTGTTTGTGTGGGGATATTCCAATTTGTTGAATGCGCATGGGGTTGTAAATCTCTCCTCATTTTTGTTTCTCTCTCCCAGTCCATGTCGTCCCATGATATCATCATATCCGGTGTTGTCCATTCCGACTTTGGCGTTTAGATCTCCCATCAGGTTGGTGTGATCCTTTTCTAAGTGCTTCAATATAATCGATTGCAGCCTCGAGTAGAACTGATCTTTATTGTCGTCGTTGCTATATTCGGTGGGTGCATAACGTTGGATAACATTCATCATGATTCCCTCCTTCTTTCTTTTTTAGGATGCTTTGATGATCCTGGGTCCATGAGATTCCCATCCGATAAGTGCATTTCGTGCTTCTTTGGATAGCATCAGAGCAACTCCCTGAGTATGTGTAGCATTTTATTCCTCGTGACCGGAGTACAGCAGCACCTCCCTCGAATCTATCCTTTGCTGTCCAGCTTGAGTCCAATGAGTTTCACTGATTTGGAGAACCGTCAAGTTGTATCTCCTCATTTCCGTTGTTATTCGTCTGGTCATCCCGGTCTCCCACATTGTGCAAACGTTCCATGTACCTATAAAGATTGTTGCTCTGGTTGTTAGAAGGAGCATCGGCCTCGTGACACCCGAAGAATCTTGGCTTTCATCCTGAAGCGTCATCATTCTTCCTTCAACTCCCGGGGCAGAGTTTAGATGATTTGATTTGTTTAATCTGGTTGGCGTTTTTAAGGAAGGTTGTCTTCTCTAGGATTGGGTTGACAACCCCATGCTCAACCTTCCTCCTTTATCCTGGCCTGTGACCAGTAGTAACTCTAGAAGTACTACAGGCAGAGTTTAACAAAAATTTACTTTGGAGGATATATGTGAAAATTTAATCATATATTTTGTGGAATTATATGTTTTGTAAAGTGAAAATGATGATTTAAAAGTTGGTTTCGTTCGTTGGTGTTTGGCTTTTGTTCGAGAATATGGAACAATACACTTTAATGAAAACCGTCATAAACGATTCTAAAACTAATTGTTATAATATAAACAGTCAGATCCAGGTTTATTCCGTTTAAAAGTATTATGTTTTGGTGAGAGCTTCAGTCTAATATTTAAAAATTTGGTTGATCTTTTTCAGTGGAGTTGTTAACTGAGAGGAAACAATTATCTAATACATCCTGATACTAAAGAAAACGCTTGAAGGTATTGTCTTTCGAAAGTTGAATAGAAATCGAAATACAAAAAGCCTTTATTGTTTAGAATAGATGAGGTGCATTGTTTACCGTCTTACTGTTAGCAAAGTGCTTCTCATTTAATATAAGTAGTCATGCAACTTTATTATTCATAGTTTTTTATCAACAGTTGTAAAGTTGTGTCCACTTGAACTTATATCCATGCATTTATTTAACACAGAATATACACACATGAACATGAAAACGTTTAATTTTGAAAATGCGTTAAGAAGTGTTAAGATGAACGAGCACATATACATCTTTTTTTACGTGTATGAACTCAAGGATTAAATCTATATTCTAGATGAAAAAAACACAAGCGAATACATTTAAAATGCTGACCGAGTAGAATGCAATTGCTTTCATGCTTTTAAACATCTAGTCAAATTAATTGAACAGAAATTGTTATATAACCATCGTACTATACCAACGAAAAATAAAACTAATATCGAAGAAATTCAAATGAATATGTTCTCTCAACACAAACATTTAATTGTAGAGATTGATGAAAAAATTGACAATAATTCATGTATTCATCAACTGTGTCTTTTTCAATCAGAATTTACAAGTAGATACGAAGATAACAGAAACAATTCATTTGAAAAACAAAGATAACAGTTAGCAAAATGTTATCGAAGTCAATAAACAAAGTGAATTGAAGAAATAAATGTTTTTATGTAAGTAGAAGACGTTTTGTTGATTTCTTAATAGTTCATTTGTATGATAATAAGAATGACAGCCAAAATCGTTCTTTAGAAGTACCAGTAAGCTGGGATTTAACGGTGCACATCTCTAGTTTCAATCAATTTGCAATGTTTTGATATAATCTTTCACTGTCTTTGATTAGTAGGCGACACACTTGAACCCGATGGATAACGGCTTCCGACTAAAATCCTAAAATAACTGCTCGAATACAGTTATTAGTGAACACATTTTTACTATTTAACTCACTCTTATTTGACTGATGTTTAAGTGGGAAATAACGATATAACGAGGATCTTATTCGAATTTTCAAGTAATTTTTAATAACAAAATATTATTCACTGGTGAAATAATGGAAAATTAGGTGAGTAGTGTGTAGGTAATTTACAAATTATTCAAATAGCAATATTCCAATAGCCTTCAGCTTCCAGCTAACAAAGTTTTACAATGAAAACTACATTTATGATCCCAGTGTGTTGAAATTTGTGGTGTTGTTTTGAGCAGAATAAATTAATCACTGATTATCTGTAAACGCTCTGATTGGTTGAGAAATAGTGATATATATATATATATATATGATGACTACTGGAGATTTCTTGTCATACATATATGACTAGCTTCGGGTCGGAAGTGTTCTAGAAAAGAAAAGATCCAGATAAAAAAACATGTAAGTAAGGAAGATGAAATTGATTGTATGAAATCTATAGTGAAAGTTCAAAGTAATTTAGTAATTTACTAATTACATTTTGAATTGATGCAACAATTTGAAGTACTAACAAAGATGTGAATTCTTATATTAAGAAAAACGAAATATCCTATGTATTTGGAGAATTATTTAATTGTGATTTCATAATAAAAATCAAAGCACTTCTTTTCAAACAGACTAGTTAACTGCTTATAATTAACTTAAGTAAAAAAATATTTATTTGTTTAGTCAATTAAAATTACATTAACCTACACGAAAAACTGAACCAAACAATGGTTGGTTGTTTGTTCGTGATGAGCTACCTGAAAGTTTTCCAGAATCTAACCCAAATCTATGGAGTTCGATGCTATCGTGGTTGAAACAGTTTTTTTCCAATGACTGATTATTATGTTGTTTGGATTCAAAATAAATGATCTAAAAAATCTTATTAGATGTGAGATTTCTATGTCCTGGGTTTGATCTTTGAGAAGGTAATGAGTGTATGCTGCTAAGTATTCACAGACTAGGACAAAACACTGCTTTAAAAGAGTCTTCTGTTTAAAATCAGCCCATAAAATAAGCTAAGACTAAGAGAATCGATACCGATAGCAAACGTGGAGTCTGGACATTGACATTTAATGACGAATAACATTCACTCTCCCATTAGATGGTAATTTGACAAATCGTATGAGTAACAGAGAGTTATAAATTGCTTGTGGCTAACAGTTTGATTATTAGACTGATTTAATATCACCATTTGAATAATCACATAATAATTACGGAATTACAAGGATCATTAAGTAACAGGAATCGAAATGGGAAGTATCAAATATCCTAGCGCATTGAGCAATGACTCTTTTCGTCAATCTAATAAGAAAAATTCATATTTTTAGTGATTACAACTATATGACCCTGAGGTTTAAGCCTGGTTTCATAAGTTTTAAAACCAATAACGTCTTCTGCGTAGTCCATAGACACAAAACAACTAAGAATCTCTTCATATATATTGAAATGTCATCCAGAAGTATATGTTACAGTTGCAAACAAGCTAAAAACAAATAATGAAGTTTAAATTATTAAGTACAAGTTTTCTACTTGGATATTTTCTGTCTAAAAAATGCTGATAAAAAGTAACTATATCGGTAAAAATCGTATAGAATGCACATACTCAAGCATGAATTAATCAAACTTCAGTCATCAGTATTAACAACGTGATAACTTAGAGCATTCTGACGACAATGAATGATAGGTTATTTAAACGAAGTAAAGTGGGGAAATCGAACAAGATATGAAAGACATCAAGTAAATAATGCTCAATTTTGAAGATCCAAACTACATATATTATGACCAATCTCTAATCATTCTATATATATATACTTTGTTTCTTGAACTGACATCACAATCCTTTTTTTGGTGAATACTACAACATGCAAATTTTTGCTTAGAATATTTATGTGAAGAAGAATACTGTATTATTTCTCTATTATACTCAATTAACAAGTTTTAGTAACTATGGTAACTTTTAACGAGGCGTAACTATGAATATATAATTCCGTATAATACTGATTAATTACCTATTTGAAACAACTAGATGTAGCAGTATACATGAAATTCCAAGAATTTACCCTATGCATTTCAATGGCATATAGCTATTAGTTCTATAAATTGCTAGATCGGTTTCCAACACAGAAAGTCAAGCTCAAGACTTGTTTGCATTGGTTGTTTGAATCTTTCATTTGATGTTCACCATTGTGACCGATCAGTCTGTTTTTGCATATGTTCATCCTGTGTGGATTGGCTTGATATTGCCATTAAACCACAAGCATTACAAGCATAAATGAATGGTGACCATCCGTGGAATCCAGGGTGAGCGTTTTGTCTTGCTCAAATCTATCGCGTAGAGCTAAAAGCAACACTGAGTGGAGTATGTTTTTTTCGACGAAATCATTTACTTAAGCTGTACATTTACATTACAATTTGTTTGATAAATATATAAGTCTAGAAGAGAATAAAAAGTGAATACATCATAAAGTGATCTCAAATTTTAAGTGTTGGAGGAAGGTTGTATTATGATCGAGAAGTCAGAAAAGAATAAAAGGTTGGAAATTATTTATTGGCCAGAAATATTAGAGATAATTTTCAACTTGACAGATACAAAGGAGAAATGGAAAAAACGTAAAGGTCAGAATAACAACTGGATAATAATCATGAAAAATTATTAGACGATAATAATAATAAGTGATTACAGTTTGAAAAAGTACGTATAATAATCAAAACAATAATGAAACCAAAACATACTAGAATAGAGGACTAGGGTTATGGAAGAACCAAAAGTTACTTTTATATGCAGAGTTTAGGCTTCAGTTTACGACTTGCTAACGTGTGAACTCTCTATAAATTTGATAATCGACCGACCTTTGATCCTATTATTTTTACCGTCTAGTTTATTTTGAAAGATTCTTTTGGAGCAAAGTGCACAAAGTTGATGAGAGGCTGGTGTATTGAGCTACTGATTGTTTTGCATCTCTCTGCTAAAACCAATGACGAGTAATACAATGAGATGTGTAATTTCAGGAACACCAGTCTTAAAGATATTTTGAGTTCATGTCTAAGTTGATTTTATTATGTTGCTTATATGTTGGGTATATGAAATTTGCCTATTTTTGAGGTAATTTACTTTCATTAAAAAGCTGCTTGTTTGTGAGTAATTCTACGGTTTAACTCTAAGTTTCTCGGAAGTATGTTCCGTTATAATATTATAGATTATGGTAAAAGTATAGTATACTGACGACCTTGGAGATACTGCTTGGTTATCAGGCAATTAACAAGGCTATGAAATGACTGTAGAATAACAGCCTTGATCTGAATGACAAGCCGTCACATGTCAAATTATCCTTATCTGTAAAAAAGGGCACGTTTACACTTACACATACACATTAGGAGGCGGGAAAGTGTTGTGAGTTGAGATTATCACTTCATAGTTCACGTCAGCAACTGACATAAATTATAGTGCAAAAAGGTTAGGGTTAAGTACTAAGAGTTAAACTTGAGTATTGAGTTAGTTATGCAAATTGGGGTTAGGAATTTCAGCACGAATTAGCATCAATTATAATCCAATCCTCTTGCTACGCTTTCGTTTACAAATTTGAGAAGCTTAATTTTGGTATTTAGAATAAGAGAAAAGAGTGGAGAATATTATCTAGCTTCGCCAAACACTTATGATTTCTCAATGAATCATATTCAGCATCTTAACAAACAATCTGAGCTTCGTAATTTAGTTTAAACACTACCTAAAATTCATAACAGTTATTTTTTATTTTTTGCAATGATTTTAAGAAATAATTATAAAAACTTTTCATCTCGTTACTGATGTCATACACGTAATTTATCACTACTTTTTAAAAATCGCTTAGAATGCATGAAGTTTCCTTCATCTTAACTCTGTTTACCTCAAGGTCGTCAGTACATCAAACTTTTACCTACAATGCTTACGTGAGCTTTACGAAATTCTATAAACTTATTTGTAACTGTAAGTTTCGCAAAACAATATTATACAACTGAAAATATTTAGTTTAATTCAAGTATAGTACTTTAAGATCTCGGTTTTCTGCACGTTGGTACAATTGAAAATGATTTCTCATTATTTTTGAACAGTATTTTCCAAATTAACGTTTTTTAAACGATTTTAAAGATTGGCAAAATAATAAGAAACTTGTATATGACTACCACTCTTTCGCTAAATTTCTTATTATCACGTAAACATCTACCACGAATGGTACATTCTCAAATTCTTTTGTAAGAAAAGTTGGTTGAAACCTTCACAATGACGAAAATGGAGAAATTTCATTTTATTTTCAGTCATCCTGATCACTGCACAGTTTCCGTGTATCCTCTGTAAAAAATCCTGTAAATTAAATGCGATTAAATAGTTTTTTATAAAAATCACTCATTTCGGACAACCTTTGTTGGTCAGTGTTAATTTTTTTCCTTCTTTGACGCATTAGAAGGATAGATAGATAGATAAATAAATAAATAGAGATGATGGATAATTTTCTAAAATAGATTTAAACTGAATGAGGTCTGATGTAATGACCTTGTTATTCTCTTGTGCAAATGGGTTGTTTCTTTATTCTTTAAAACGGTCAGTAATAATAATAATTGTAAATTAATGCAAAAATTATGGTAAGTATTTTTAGACTACGAAAAGTTTTTTATGGCTTCATTTAGAAAGAATTTTATCATGCTATGTCATCTATGTGTGTATGAGTGTTTGTATGCATGTATGCAAGTATGCGTAAGCATAAGCATAAGCAATAGTATTCGAGATAGAAATAATTCTGTCAGGTTTTGCTTCAGTTTACTATTTGTTCTCCTTTTTTTCGTGTTATTGAGTTAGTGTCCTGAATTTAACATGAAAATTCTTATTTAGCTCTATGTCCTATAACAAATTATTCCAGTAAAGAAACAGTATTTACTTGAGATAGTTTATTTTTCTTATATTTAAGAGTTCACTGATAAATGAATAAAAATTTTCATGAACATTACTGTGTTTTATAAGTTTGTTAATTGGCGGACAATGATAAAATGTTGTATTTCACGACCTGAATCCGGATTTGTCTTTATATTTCAAATATTTACGAATATTGCATATTTCACAACCATAAATCACTAATTAACTGACAATTCAGTGTTGTCAAGTCCTTAATCTTGATCAAAATCCATTGACCAACTTTGATAGTGGCCTCTAATGGACGTGAATTTATATTAAGTGTATTATATTACAATGGTGATTTGTTTAAAATGATAGACAAGAGGCCTTGCGTCTGAGTCTTATATAAGTTGATTCCATTCAGTAAAATGTATATTCATTTTTGAAGGAAATGTTGAATCCTATGAAACTGATACACACGTTACCTAGAGCTCTGGTCAGAGTTGTTACTGCCAACCTATTCATCCTGCTATCGACTGTTGTAAACTATCACAAAAGCATAGGTGTAGTGGTTCTTATAGAATACATTCAACCGTTTCACATTTAAATCATAAGAAACGGGTTAAAAATTTAAAACAGAATCCTAGAGTACTCAATTCTTCGACTTTACATTACTTACTTTAGGAGAAGTGTATGTTCACAGAAAAACTCGGTTCCCACTAAAAGAATAGTTAAACATAAATCTACAGTTCAATGAAACAGAAGGAAAAATTAATAGAATAAAAATAATTCGAGAGTTACATGCTACGTCAATGCAAGTAAAGTTAGTTTTTATCACCTTAATCAAATGCTGATGTCTTATGATTTTACAGTCCCGTTGGTTGAGGTTATTGATGTATACATAAAGTTCCGTGGAAGTGAAATGATATTTCATGAAAAACATATTACTTAAGCATCTGACATTTCATAGACTAAATTGAACTATTTTTACGAATTCGGTTTTTTAAAAGTTGTAGGCAGAGATTTAAATTCATTTTCCATTGATCAAGTAATATTTGAGAAATCACCTTTTTATTGAGATCATGAACCGAATCGGACAATTGTTTAGACAAATGTTGAAAACATGAAAGTACCGGACAAGCCTCATGATAATAATTATTATATGCTTACTGGTTACTAGCTTTGACAGGTAATTCATAGAATCCCGACGAGAAGCTGTGATCAGTGGAGTTCAAGCGTGTTGGGTATAAAGAAGTAACCCACTGAAGACAATAGATGATCATGCAATATCGTTTATAGAGTGAATTTGGACGTGTACACAATTGGACCAGGGGTTAAAGGTATAGAATGGAGGTTTTGGGTCCGACCACCTATGGCGGGTTTATAAATATGCAATGCTCAAGAGTCCCATAATAGAATGAAACAACTAAGCATAGCTTCCACGTTTCTATATTTATCTAAATTAAATTGGTTCGCAGTCTCAAAAATATTCAACAATCTCCTCAGAACTTAGACTAAAAATTACCTTATTCCAAATAACATTAATTTTATTTAAATAATAAAATAATTGATTTTATAAACTATGCTAGATTATTACAACGACTATATTAATATGATGTTTTCGGAATTCCGAGGTTATATATTTTTAACTGCAGCTTATAAGAAACGGCATTTTTCTCAAGTGACTTGTTTTTTGAAAAAATACCATTTGTTACCATCAGTTTATGCTTCCTGAAGAAATCTACTATTTTTTATGCAAATCTTATATACTTCTGAACAATAAATGACAATTTTCATATCGGGAACGTTTTGGTTGATAATCTGATTCATAATATTTTAAACCAATAACCGTCCTGTCCAAAAGGAAGTGCCAAACACTTAGTGAAGAAATTCAAACTTCAATTCATTTATTTTATTGCTCAAATTCCAATAATTTCATCTGTGACTGACCGTATTTCTGTCAATGTTGTTGGTCTTAAATATTACAGGTGAGTATTATATCAATTCGTAATGAAATACAGCTACTGTCTTACTGGATAATAACTTCCAGCTCACTAATGATAAAGGTCACTTTGAATTTCCCAGGGTCCTTGCTTGAAATTATAACTTATAACAGTACGAATTTTGAGAACCCCAACCCTGATTGATTCATGGCAACGTTACACGTACGGTGATAGGTAGGATAAAAACAAATTTAGTACATATAGTTTCTTTTGATAACTTTTCAAGGAGTTAGAACAACATTTAGGATGAAATAACTATAATTTAAGCCATTCTCTTAAGTTCTAATCAGTTGCTTGCAATCGTCGACTTTCTAAATGAGGTGGGAAATACTAGAAGAAATAAATCTGTCTACAAGTTAACGTAAACATATCAGTATATAGTATGGCAAATACTCGAATAAAGTCATAATATTGATCTAGATATTTGCAAATATGCCACCATGTGTAGAAGCACATTTTTGTACACTGATCACTGCAAAAGGCTCTAGAGCATGCAAAGATGTGTATGGTTACTTTATAAACAGAACTTAAGCATGGTTAACAATAAAATAAATCATGCTCATTTAATGAGAAACTAAAAATTCTCAAACTGTAAGATAGTCAAAAAATAGTTATCTTAAATTTTGTTTTGATATTTGTTGTCCTGCTGAAACCATTTTTGTATGTTTTGACTGACTTACATCTTCAGAACTAAGACGATTACGGAGTGTAAAAGAAAGGATCTACAAGGAGAAAAACCCTATTGAAGTTCAGAAGCTAAATTATGTAATAAACCTAGAGATTAAACAACTGAACCCGATGTTTACTCAGAAACTCTTATCTTGCAAAAACTCTTCAGGTATAGGGAAACTATTTAAAGAACTTACAGTCGAGAGGCACACTAGAAGTGATAATCAGCTGAGTGTTTATGACTTACATAAGTCTTTCACACTTCAGTCATCTGATGTCATGAATACTATATACAAAGATTTGAAGAAAAGTTGTGTTCCGGTTTTCACTGAAACTGATGTCCGAAGATGCCTAACTTAATTCGTTCCATGTTTCGGACCTGCTGAAATCCCAAACTTCCTAATTAAAATGTGTACTAACTTTCTGTGTTATCCGTCCACGAGCATCTACAACAGTTTCTTTTCACCTAATTTCATACCGAAGATGTGGAGAAAGATAAAGATAATCCTTATACCTAAGAAAGTATCTGGAGATAAGAGTGTAAAGTTTGGACCCATAGCAACAACTTCACTTTTTCTCAAAACAAAAGAAAAATTACTGCTACTCCAACTTCAACCTGCACTAAAAGAGCACATTGATCTGTATCAGTTTGCATACAAATGCAAAAGAAGCACTTAAGTTGTTACTGTTGTTCTGCATCATAATATAGTGTTCAGCTTGGAAAAGGGTAAGAAGTATGTTCGATGCGTTTTTCTGGACTACACTTCTGCCTTTGACCCTATTACAAGACAACTTTTACTTAACAAGCTAATCAGAGTCAACACTGACAGCAGGATAACCAACTGGATGTGTTCCTACCTCTCTGGAAGAGAACAGTACGCTGTTAGGAGGAAAGCGTTTGGTGTCCCCACTGTATCATGAAGGTGTGCCACAAGGAGCTCTTCCTAACTCCTTTCTTCTCTTTTACGCATGGTCTGCGATCTCATGCAGAAAACACTTTTGTCAAATATGTTGACGATCTCACTGTATGTATGCTGATTTCTACCTCTTTACATCTCTTGGAAATGAACTAGTTCTTGTCTCGCATTGAATGGTGGTCTGTTGTTAGTGGTGTCACAACTAATCTGTTTAAGTATCAAATTGTTAACTTTAGACATGGGCAGCATTTTAACCCTCTCTGGGAATCTCATAAACCATATACTATTAGAGATCCTTTGATTTACACACCGTCAAAATTTATTTATCTTGTTATACGTTTTTCCTCTGATCTCTCATAGTCTTTTCCTTTTTTTATTGTTATAGAAGAACGTTTTGCATCTGACTTACTGTATAAAGATACTGCATACTATTGGCATTATTCGCGATTATTCTAAAGATTTGTCAATTCTTGCATGTTATCTATTATTCATTACTTTTCTCCATTATTCCTTGACGGGCTTTTGAGAAAAGACTGTTGCATTGAGGAAAGTGCCAAAGAAAATGAGCATAGTGTGTGGTGAATTTTTTAAGGTCATTATTCATATATATAAATATATATAGCTGAAGCTATGTCAGCTCCTCTTCTTCTTCTCCTCACGTCTTCCATTGTCCTTCGGGATTTTTCAATGTGTGTTTGTGTGGGGATATTCCAATTTGTTGAATGCGCATGGGGTTGTAAATCTCTCCTCATTTTTGTTTCTCTCTCCCAGTCCATGTCGTCCCATGATATCATCATATCCGGTGTTGTCCATTCCGACTTTGGCGTTTAGATCTCCCATCAGGTTGGTGTGATCCTTTTCTAAGTGCTTCAATATAATCGATTGCAGCCTCGAGTAGAACTGATCTTTATTGTCGTCGTTGCTATATTCGGTGGGTGCATAACGTTGGATAACATTCATCATGATTCCCTCCTTCTTTCTTTTTTAGGATGCTTTGATGATCCTGGGTCCATGAGATTCCCATCCGATAAGTGCATTTCGTGCTTCTTTGGATAGCATCAGAGCAACTCCCTGAGTATGTGTAGCATTTTATTCCTCGTGACCGGAGTACAGCAGCACCTCCCTCGAATCTATCCTTTGCTGTCCAGCTTGAGTCCAATGAGTTTCACTGATTTGGAGAACCGTCAAGTTGTATCTCCTCATTTCCGTTGTTATTCGTCTGGTCATCCCGGTCTCCCACATTGTGCAAACGTTCCATGTACCTATAAAGATTGTTGCTCTGGTTGTTAGAAGGAGCATCGGCCTCGTGACACCCGAAGAATCTTGGCTTTCATCCTGAAGCGTCATCATTCTTCCTTCAACTCCCGGGGCAGAGTTTAGATGATTTGATTTGTTTAATCTGGTTGGCGTTTTTAAGGGAGGTTGTCTTCTACAGTGTCGGTTTCGCAACCTTACGTGAATATGATCATCCGTATTAGATGTTACGTTCAGCATTCACACAATAAATTATTTGTCAATAATTTCTCTTTTTTGAAAGTTCATCATATCTGAATTATTTTGTTATTTGTGAGTTGTGCGTATGATGAATTGACGTCTGTGTAAAATATTGCAGATATATTATTTCACATTTCTTAGCTGCTATAATATACAATCATTTTTTAAAAGTACCATATTTGGACCAGTTATATTCTATAATCGTAAATATCATATCTAAAACTGTTAACAAATTCAGTATAATCCTAGGCTTCTTTGTTTTCTCTCTACTGCATCAAATCAAGCAACCGAATGAACGAGAAAACGTAAAATAATTCTATTGGTATTATACAATATTTACATATATCTTTAAACGTCCATATCTCATCAGTTATCGAAGAAATATATAATCATTCATGGTCATTCAATGCATTGATATACTTTTGAAGTATCGTAAAATAAATTTACCAGGGCAACAAACATATGAAAGTTACAGTTGCTTTGAAAGACTTGAGAAAATAGAAGTTAAAGGAATAATTTCTGTTAGATCTATTTGGTAAATATTTCACGTATGATGAGTTTTACTAAGAAGGAATATCAGAAAATATTCAGTGACATGTTAAAACCTGGAATCATTACAGATAAAATGTTCTCCTTTAGTGGAAATCAATATGGTACGACGTATAACGACTCGTTTTAGCAAAATACTCGGATTCTTTTAATGTGATAGCATATATGTACTTTGTAAATTAGTAAAGGAAAATAGTAAACTATTGTCTAATCTATGTGCAAGTAGCTGGATTAGTTGATAATTTTGACTTCCTTAAATATTTTCAAGGGTCTTTGTCTATGAGAGTAAATAACACAGTATACATCCAAAATACCGCACATTAGTTTCAAACTTACTAGTATTAAAATAAACAAACAGAATCTGAACTAAACTTCATCTATGAAAGTGGCGATAGTATTATATCTTTTATAATAAACTATTTGGTTTTTTGATCTAGTACCAAAAACCGTTAATTTAATTTTTACGGTCATTTATAATGTTTTCTTCAACATGAACCTTTTCCTAGCTTGGGTAAAACATGCACCAAACAAGTTTTAACAAAAAAATATTGATATCACTATAAAAAATCGCAACTGAGTGGAAACTTACACGTTATTGAATGTCGTTTCGTTTGCTTCCTAAGCAATTTAATTAAGAATAAATAATAACCCACAAGAATAACTAATTGATTAAGGAATTCCTACGTTAATCCAATATATCTCAAAAAGTTCAGCGTCTTTTTTTTTCTAGTAAAACCTGGATATAACAGTTTGGTATGAAAGTCTAAGATCTGAAATCACTATGAAATTGACTATCATAACACTTCATATTATTTTTAATGATTTCAATATCACAATTACAACTTCCACTTACTAATAAATAGATATAAAGCAGAGATTTATTATTACAGTTATAAAAATATTAAGAATTGATTATTTGATTCTAGCACATATCAGTTAGCCACACAAGTGAATGTCATACTGAAATAACAACATAATTGATTTACAGTTAGATTTTCAGTGACTAATTGTTCTATTGTTATTAGTCAAAATAATATGGGAAAAGGATTTACTGGCGCAAAACGAGATGTATATTTTATCGGTCAAAATGAGCGTTGATAGTTAGGGTTTTTGGAAACTTGTTAACAAAAAAACATTGATGATAAATCCTATTTATTAATGAGTGTATAGTAGAGATTGAAAACTTAAACAGTGGATAAAAAGCAGAGCGTTACTTACCTTAACATTGTCATGACCACCAATATTGATGAAAAAGACAACTATATCATTATTCATAAATATTCATGAGTCACTTTTACTTAAATTACTCCTTTCTTTGACAGTTTATCATGGTATAGGATTACAACTCGGTAGCCAATATTAGCAATTAATAAATTGCGTACAAATCATTGTTAGAAAAAAGTAATGTTATCCCTTTTACCGATATTTTTGACTGAAATTTCATGAATCTTTCTTGTCAAATGTGCATCCTGTTTGAACTGCCTTGATATAATCATTTTTGTTACAAGCTAAGATGGATTATTCTTAGCATTAAAACCTGGGATGGGAGTTGTGTCTTATTTAAGACTCGTCAAACTGATGTACCTTCATCCTAGAGTTGATGTTTGGTCCAGGAAATGAATACAACGCCTTTAGCTACAAATACCAACTCACTATCCACTAATCTACTGAGTTCAGACAACTATGCATTTGCATATGTGGTATTAAATTTCTATCACTGTTTGAAAATGCTTGTTTGACCTCTTCAACACAACACAGGGATTTGAGGATATTCAACTGATGAGCCTGAAATAGAACGCAGTGCGAGTCCTGAATTCAAGTGCTGGTCGAAGTCTATTGCATCTATGTAAATTTCTTTCGGTTTCACCAGCAACATATTAATTAGTCAGTTGGTAACTATTTGAATGACAAATCGATAATATCGTCAGGTTATATCTACTTGAAACTGGTAGTATGATAAAAAAGAGACAAAAGTATTTGAAAAAAACTTGCAAAAGTTTGGGAGTTTATCAAATTCAGAATCATGACTTGTAATCTCCTTGAGCTAATGTTTACATGGTAACAACAGCAATTCAAAATATTTTTACTGAAGAAAACTGTTTTCAAATTTTTAATTTCATATGTTCCATCTACAATTCATGTGGATCATTCAAGCAACACCTTCACGTCGTTACTCAAGTCCGAATTGAATGACTCAGATATAAACTTTTGAAGAACCACTTGTTTTCATAAGATCATAAATAGATATTTTTGACAAGTACAAGTTTTAATTTCATAACTTCCTGTTCATTGTTCTCGATCATACAAAATGATAAGCATGTATTTAATTTTATCGAGAGTATAGAATAAATAAGTGAAAAACAAACGATTTTTTTATTGTTCTAACCAATAAATTGATAACTACTTTATATGCACAGTAACTCTCAGTTAATAGTGAAATTAGTATTATTGGTGACAGACTGTCTGTTGTATTTCAAATCATAAAAAACATTATTGATTTCGATATATGATGGTGATATATTGAAAGTTACGTTCCTTTCTCGCTTTGGAAGAAATCATCACATTAGATTATATTATTAATAACTGTAAATCACACACAATGTTAGAATGAAATTATGTTAAGGTAGTTAGAAATGAAACGGTAAACCTGAGGTTGACAGTCCGTCGATTTCAGAAAACCTACTTAACTATAAAAATTCAACTGCATGAGTACAGTTGAATATTTGATGATATTAGATTGAAATCAGTTAACTGTGTTTACTTATGCTGGTCATTTTATGCCACGCGCTTGTGTGGACTGGAAAACCGTTTAGTATCAATGACCAACGGACACTTCTGTCCTACTATGAGAAGCTTCAGAAGTATGCATTCAAGACTCTATCGGTAATCAAACTTGTAATGTTTTACCTTCGTGATGAGTACGTTGCCTTCGGATCATTCGCTTGTTATAAAATTGTCAAAAGTTCTATTTTGAATAAACTTACGATATTTAAACGTCATCAATTTCAGTTTTTCTTGAAAAATTTAGATAGTAAATGACTAAAAACTACAGTACGTCAAAAATTTAGTAATATGTTCTCTGAATACTATAAATGTAGTTTCATTTCGAATGTCAACATACATATTACTTACTAATATTTGTGTTTCAAAATAAAAATACACAATTATTCTATAAAAAGAGGAGAGTTCCAAGCTATCGGCTAATTTTATATGGTAGTTATTTTGAGATAAGTAGGATTATAGAAGTATTTCATTTTGAATAGGCTTTAGATAGAAAAAAAAAGTATTCACACTCAAAATTCATTCTGATTAAACGGTTAAACTAAATCGCAACTACTCAGCACACCTGTGGGAAAATATTGCTGATATCGTATATAGAAACCGAGTAATAGGTTCACCAGAGAAATGCGTATTTCATAAAACATGACAACAAAATATGAGGTTTGTGGTCAATAAGGAGGCACTTATACCTAGTACGATCCAAGTAAGACAAATGTGATCCGGGATTCCGTTGTTTAGTACAATCTACCTGTTCTCTGAATCATATTTATCCTTTAAAAAGCATGTGAATTGATGAAAAGGATACCATTAAAAGGAGTATATATATTTGAATGCCTTCCATTAATAGATCGATATTAAAACATTTTTGAACAGAAACTGGGATAGAAATTAAATTAATTAAGCAAGCTTTAGAAAGCTTATATTAATAAATGATGCACATGTTATATTTCTATACTAAAAACACAACAAGCTACGCTAAAAGCAACAACAGTGTTTAATTCAATGAAAATGCAAATCATTGTGAATTAAATTCATTAAAGCCAATAAGAAGCATGAAAAATGACCAATCAAAATTTAACAGCAAATACCCAATCATTTTCATTGTAATTGAAAGTATTGGTTATGTTAGGTAACTTGGTAAAAACATATACGGTGCATTATACATCTATATTTTTTCTAATTGAAATTCACTTTAAAACAAAATGGTTATCAATTTGAATGTAAGAGTTTTTATCACTAAACTAACCAAACTCAATGGAGTTCTAAGTATGAAGTTATAAAATTATATTTTTGTGAGTACAGAAGATGAAAAATGTGTTCATGATATTCATAAAATTATCAGAAATTGTTCACTTATTGTGGAATATAAACAGTTGATTATTTTACTGAATTATTCTACATTTCAGTATGTTTTGATTTTACGTAAGTGACTAGTTAGCATTGTTAAAGATAATCTTAAATGTCTTGTTTTGCTTTCTCAGTAATAAACGTAATAATATATTTGTAATGTAACAGTGTCGTGTGCTAAGTATCAATAATATGGTTCGACCTCATAATTTCAAATGAATTGAATATTAAGTGAGTTAGTCATAATAAAAACATAATAACTTTATGATATTTCAATGCGTGGTAAAATTGAATCTCCAGCATTTTGTTGCTGAATACATAACACTTCTTCAAAGAACCGATAAAAAAAAGAATAACCGATCTCGAACATAATTCTAAAATTATGCAGTACGAACCTTGAATACCATGAAATTTAGTTACACATCAAATGACAACAAACAGGTTTTTCGGTTATTCAGTAACGATTTTGTATATTCTCTGAGGAAGCGACTTACGTCAAGTCACGAAACGACTTAAATTTAATTTTCTACAAATTGTGATTTCGCGAGTATGTTATTTTTCATTACAGTGCAATGTATTACACACAGTACTTAAACTTGAATTAGTATATTTCTCTTCAAGAATTCATGATTTGAGCAAATTGCCACTAAAACGTATCGTCTGCTACTGATTTGCAGTAGATAATATTAACTATAATCGATTTAAATAATTCGATAAATTTTATTATGATTATTTAAACCTTTATTAAAGGTTTATTATCTCACCGAGTATTGGACAGTTCATTTTATTTTTGCCATACAAAGATGTTACATATTTTGAATAAAACTCTGAAGTGTAATTTGCATTTACTGTAGGGTTGTCTGTTGCAAAAAATTACTGACTACATTCTTTCATGTTTGTTGCCTAAAACTAACTAGAAGTATCGGTTATCAATGTCAATTTAAACAATCAATTTGTTTTCTTCATTATATTTATTGTGTCTTCATATGAGATATTATGAAATATTTAGTATCAAAACGTTTTGTATTCAATTATTATAAATGTTAGTGCATGAAAGGAAATTACAAAAAAATGTCTCGCAGATGAGAAAGCGATAAGAAAACTTAATACAGATGCTTTCGATATAAATATTGCTGACTATTACATGAATTGTTTTAAGAAATAAAGCAGATTCTAGACTTAATATTTAATATAATTATTGAATATCCGAAAATAACTATTGCGAAACATCATAAATTTGGCATGGAAGAAAGGTGTGCGTATTGAGTAAAAGGCCATAGATAATTTAAAACAGATATATGTGTAACACTGAGAATAATCAGTGAAATAGTGATTGGTTGTAACAGTTAATTTTATCGCAAGTGTACACAGACAATTTATCAATCAATAAAATTTCGAGTGGTTAATGCTAATAAAAGATGAGTTTTCAAGATAGTATCATTAAAAGTCCTAACTTCTTGTCGTTTTTCGGTAAACTTTCGGAATTTTGAATTTAGGCAATTGAAAGGAAATCCTTGTATCCTTGTATTTAAATTTCGCGATCATTAACATTCATAAAAAACAATATCCACATTCGTGAGGAAAACGGTGATCTGGGTGAGATATCAGTTCGGGTTGTGCGCCGTCCGTTAAATGCGAAATCACTAAAGTCTTCAATTAACCGGAGGTAGGTTTTAGAAATTAAAACTAATTAACCACTGAATGAAAATCAATGTACACCCGTATTTATGTTAGTAGTAATCCTAGATATGTGAATCAAATACTTTATATCATATGTATACAAACAAAAGTAAAAGTTTCTTGTGTCTTAGTGCGCATAGAAACTAAACAGGTGTAAGATGTATTAGTTATAGTTACTATCATTGAAAGTTGAATAGTAACCTTCCAAATGTTGAGCAATACGGAGTGAAAGTTTGCTAGTAGTGTAGTGAACAGGAACACAAGTGGGAACCATCAAATGTAAATGAACACACAAATTACAGAATGTTTTAGTAAAATCTTAGAACCATATAGTAAATAGTTCATTTGTAAAATGTCAATCATTTGTCTCAGGCATTATGGTTTCTTCACTTCTACAGCAATCATTCTCTGTTCTCGTTCTCTTTTATTCAATTTTCTTAACCTTCTGTCACCAGGCATCTCACTTTCGATTCATGATACATATTATTTCTATCTGTTGAAATCGGTAGCACACACCACAGTAGGTTTAAGATTATTCCATAATATTTTGTGCTTAATATTCATTATTATTTTCCCAACAATACCATACTATAAATGTCAAACCATATAGCTGACATTATTTATTATGAAGATAAACATTTCTAATAGATGTCAATATTAAATAATCGTTCTTTCATTTTCATTTATTCTAGACTCGTCAAAAGCTCAAGAAGTTAATCAACATAGAACCAATACATCTCATTTTTAAACACACCATTGAATATTTACCTAAACATTTGATAAGTAATATTTAAACAGAACCTTTAAAAAATTCTATAAATTTCGATGTTTCACACTGATTTACTAGCTGTGATCTTCTTATGTTTTGTAATATTTTTCATAGCTCTTTGGTATTTGATATTTTATCCCAATTCAAGACAGACTATGAAAGGTACAAGACGTGTCAAATCTATGAATAAACAGTCAAATAATAAAAACGCAAGAAAAGAGATTGCTCGACTGTATAGCTTTGATAAAAATGCCTATCAAGAGATGAATCTTTATTCATGTGGTATTAGTACTACTGAACATTCGGAATATGATTCATTTGGTGATACAAGTTTAAAGTCAGTCAAAGAAATGATGAGATATAAAGAAAGACAACAAAGATACAGTTTACAACAAATGTCATCTTATCAATCAAATGAGAATGATCAAATATTACCAGTCGCTAGTGATAAAACAACAAGACTTATTTTTGGTTTACAAAATCCACCATTGAATATTACCAAACTTCAAATGGTACAACCAGATTGTAAAATGGTTACAAAGAAAGGGAGATTACTTCGAGCATTCTCTGAAAGTTGTACAACTAAATGTGCAGGTCACACTGGTGGTATTAGTCATGAAAACAGTGAGATAAGTAACAATAAAAAATCAATATCAACTGATAAAAAAATTCAAAAAGGGATTCATTTACCAAAGTTAAGTGATTCAAATCTTGCCGGAAACTTACATCTTTGGTTAAACAGTACAAAATTCAATAAATCATTATTTCGAAGTGAAAAATCATTATCTTTACCAAGTGAATCTGTATGGTCAGAGGTTAAACGTCGCTTAAGTAGTACTGAAAAAGTTTTCGATCCTGTTATGCGTATTTTGTCTACAGTACCGTTGAATAATCAAACAGATTTAGACAATAATACGTGGACAAATTTCACGACGAATCCAGATACAAATGGACATATATGTTTTTCATTGGCGTATACATGCACTGTCGGAATACTAAATGTAACAATTAACCGATTAATCGGTGTTAGTAATCTTGTTAAAAATTCAAATATTTTACCAAGTCAAACATCAACTAATTTTGTTGTAAGTTTACGTTTAAGACACAATAAAAGTTCTACAATTTACATAGCAGGAGACGATGAAGATAATGAAGGGAGAATAAATTCGCGTAATAAAAGTGAAGGTTTTCATAAAAATTATTTTACACAACCAGTTTCAACTTCATTAAACCCAAGTTTCGATCAATCATTCTTATTCTCGGTCACGGTGAATGAATTAGATAGTGTTGAATTAGTTTTAGCGGTATTCCAGTCAACAACAGTGAATGAATTTACCAGCTTAAATAATAATAGAATGCCAAGACGTAATAATTCCGTCGTTTCATATCATCATTCATATCCTTATGGAAATGATAGATGTCTACGTAGAGTGAATATGATATCTGAAGAGATGAGATGTATTGGTGTAACGTTTTACAAATTAAACCAACATGAATTAATTAATTGTCCCGAAAAAATGCAAAATATTTGGCAGGAATTGCGAAAATTACCAGAGTTTCAAAGTAGACAGACAAAAATAGCAAACTGTGATAACAATGACTCAATGAGTGATTCAACAAATTACAAGGTATATCCATTCACTACAGAAAATCAATTCGAGGATGGAAAAACTTTGGTAAATGATGTCTTATATTACTCAAATGTTTTCAAGTAGTCACCAAAGATTACTTACACTTTGTTATCAATATTTTTGATCGATCGAGCGGTTAATAGTAATTCATAATAAGGTGATTGATTTCAAATGAGAAAGCAGTCGATTATTCTCAATGATTTCAGAAGACGTTATCCTTCAAAATATTTTTGGAAACCCCTACATATATGAAAGAGAATCGATGATGAGTTGATGCATACGGATGACTAGTTGCACAAATCATGAACCACGGATTCCATATGAATATGAGCGAGATTTCTTTCATAATCATGAGGGACTAAAAATTAACTAGTTTTAGTAGCATATTCGAACGCATTTTATAGGATACACTAATGGAAATCTTCTAACTCATCTTTTAAAAGCGTTGACATGTTAACATCTTTCCATTACTAGTTATACGGTTTATTTATGGTGTTAAATACAAAAACCGTTGTTAAACAGTCTATAGTTAGCTAATGTTTATAGAGGATGCATATATTTTACTGAGTGACTATGACTAATCAAAAGTGTAATTTTAATAAACAATTATGATTCCGCTAGAACCGTGTTTTCAGAGATCACTCGGGGTACCTAAATATTATACGATTTGAATACCAGTCAAGAAAATAAGAAGTAAAACAACTAACGATCTAACCGTTTATTAAAATTTTCTTTCAGGTAGTTTAGATATTTAAATTTATTTAAAATAGATTTATTTCATCAATTTTTTACTGCAAATCAAAATCAGAACAATTGATCAAAAATAATTTAACGTATACATAACTACTGAGTTATTAAACCAGAACTCAACGAAGATTATTTCCTTACATTCAACTACTTCAAAATATGATTATTTCTAAACATAGTTACGTGTGGTCATATCTGCTGTCGCTTTTAAGTTAAATCAACTACATTTATCATAGATGTTAGTTACCTCAGAATATCAGGAATCCTTTCACATAAACATATAATTCATCAGTATTTAAATGAGAGTCTCAAAATAATTAATATCAATATTAACAAACAGCTAATTTATTTATAATGAAAATTCAATTTAATCTAACCGTTTGACTTTTTTGAATTTAATACAATTTTATCAATTTAGAAACCACTATAAATGACTTAAAAATAGTTGTATAAAAGCTTTAAAAATTTATAACGAAACTATTTATAATCTCATTTTATTCTGTGACCAAAAATGAAAATACACCAAACTGACTGAAATAAATCTTTTCAAATTTCAGTAGTTCAGTGAATAACGTGTTCAGAGTTTGAGACGTAACATATTTGGTTCGATTACTGCTGTAAGGATCATCTAGATAACAAACACTAAATAGAAAGAAACCAATGTACTGGATTCCAATACTAGGCTATTTCTTTACTTGACTACGTAGATAATACAGTTTGAAATTATTTCCTTCTATGTCTCTGTATATATATATACGACATTTGTTCGAATTTCATTTTCTTTTAGATTAAGGATAAATCTTTTCTCACATAGAAAATCCTTTAAAGGATTTTAAGAACTACTTTCACAAATAAATATACTCACAGAAGAATCAATGCAATAGTAATTAGGAATAAATAAACTCGTTATGATTAGAATGTCCTTTTTTTTCCGTAATGTTGACACAATATGGAATAGTGATCAATTAAATGGTGATGAAAAAAAAGGGTTTATGATGTTAAGGTGAATTTCATAGTCACACAAATAAATTGTCAAATATTTTGCATTATTTCTACTTGAAGTATTACTTATATTTCAGCCAAATGTTAGTTCAGAAGTTCCACAAATTCAAGAGTTAAAAAAATCATTGGTGAAAGTAACTATTCAATACAAAATAGATTCTTCTATCTTTGACATTTTTATAGAAGAGATGAAAAATGTGAAAATTTTAAAAAATGAAAGTAAGTTATAACTAAGCTTCTAATACTTTTTAATTTGGGATATATTTTGTAAAAATTAATAAAGAATTCAAACAAATCATTTTAAAATACATTGACAATAATCAATATTTTAATATACAATTTGAACAAATCTAATTCAATAATTGTTTTTAAGTAAAACATTATTAAAATAATTGATGATAATATCAAGCATAAGATATTGGGAAAATCAATAATCAAATTGATGAAATCGATATAAAATACAACTTTATTCATGAAAAAAATGTTGAAAAAAGATTATTGAACTTGTAAACCTGTGCGTTAAGATCAATAAGAAATGTAATAATAAAATGTGATAACTACAACAGTATGTGTGTTGTAGAAGGAAAAATATCAAACCTCTGAGGTGAAAGATAAATTCTAGATTAGTTTGGTTTATAACGCCACTTTTGTGTTTGAAATAATATAAACATCATGGTTAATATTATTGTCTGTAGAACTTTGAAAGACTATTGAAAGTGTTTGATTTCATTATCAGGAACAAATTTGTTTAGGTAAAATCAATATTAACGACCTTTGACAGTATTATCAAGTTGTTTCATTTTTAAACGAAATTAGATAATAGATTAGCTTTTAGGATAGAGTATTTACTGAGTTAGAAGACTGAAACTTCAGCATTAGGAAGGAGTAAAGTTAGCAGTACAGCGTTGGGTGATCCTAATGCAGTCATAAGTTCATGAGAACACAAGTGGAGACAAAATTACAGGACATCTTTGTAAAATCTGAGAACCATACAGTGAATACTTAATTTGCAAAATGTCAATCATTTGTCTTAAATGTGACTGTTCCTTCTGCAAATATCAGCCAATTGTCTCAGACTTTAATGCTCCTGCATTTCCATACCGATTGCTTTCCGTTTCCGTTCTTTCCTCCTCGATCGTCTTAAGCTTCTGCTGCCCGAAATTCTAGTCCTGACTAGCGTTAGAAACTAGTGGTGTCGATATAAGTAACACATACCCCAATATTATAAAGAAAAAGTTAGGAACAGAAGAAAACGAGAAGGGAGATTTAAATGACAAGTCGAGGATAACTATATTCCTGTATGTTTTTGATCTTTTTGCAACAAAATGATTGATAGAGAAGACTGAGTAAATAGACTTTTGTTATATGTACACTACTACAATAGCAAAATGATCGATTTACTAAAGGCAAAGTTTACGATTAACTAACGATAACGAAAGGGATTCTCAAAAGATGTTTGCACCGTTAAAATAGCCTGAATGACCATTGCAAAATTAATTTTTTTATTTAGCTTATAAATGACAGTGTTATAACACCTAATATCACTACACACATACACCACACTTGCATTCAAAAAGAGTCGTTCTATAAAACATTGTCTTAGATTTTATGTCAAGAGATGTGGATGATCTTATAAATTATTTCAACTGTACAGAGGATAAAATTCTTTTGAAATAGCAAGTTATAATACAAAGGGAAACAAAATATCTAATAGGTTCAAAGAACTGTTTGAGGATGGCAAGCAAAAAGCCATACAGACTAGTTGTATTTCCTATTTCGTTTCAAAGATAGTATGAAAAGGATCAAAATTTAATATTAGCTGTGTTTCATGTAAACCATTTGTTATGCCTTCAAATAATAAAATTGTTCTAGATCATTCGGAAACCGTGCATCACCTGGACGATATGTATGTCATTATTACGCATAGATGTTTATAGATATTATTGAGCATACAGCTCTCCATCGTGAACTAAATTTAGCTAGCAAACAGTACAAAACAGGTAAGAGAGGCATAGCTATTTCATACTACTGTGGGACTGCTCTGTCTTTCATTTACGACCTCTGTCAAAGATCGGACATAGAGTCTTCAAGCCTCGTGGCGAGGGTTTAACCCTTATGCTGATGACTTAACATTCACAAGTTTTAGTTAAAAGACGTGACCAATGAAGTTCAATTAGTCGGGAGTGTGGCAACTGTCATCGATAGCGGATTGGAGTAGCTACCATTTTTCTACTCTGTTACTAACAGTATATTGATCACTTTGTTAGTGAATGGCGAAAGATGGAAATCAGCTGGGGACCAGTTAAACTGGTTTCTAACAGATTGGGTTACCGTTTCCCATCTCCGGCCTAATAGTAAATCAATGATTTTCTTCGATCCCAGTTTATTGACAAATTATTTTCGGCCTTATTCTTCGCAGTTCATTCAAATGAGTGTTTTATGATAGGTCTAGTTGTTCCCTTCCCTATTTTCGTTACTTATGTGTCCATTACTACTTATGATCACTCCACAGTCATTTCACTAATCTATGGATAAGTGGTTTTTACGAACTACCGCGGTTGGTGCCTATAGGAAGTTGTTAGTTTTGTAAAGTCTACTGACTTCCAGCTATTCAAATGAAGATTCGGAAATCGATTAAACCACTTTGATATGAACAAGTAGTTAGTATCACTAACTGTAGCCCATAAAATATGGTAGTCTAGTGGGAAAATCAACTTGTGGTCGCATTTTTTTTCTTCCTTTTATGAGAGCCGTGATACTGTTCAGACATTTAGGCCAGATGAAGTGATTTTCGCTATGCGACCCCAACGCTTGATTCAAAATGTAATGAAATGGTACCAGGAAATGTATTGTAACTCATGATCATGATAAGTTTGTACCCCAAACGTTTTCTCGAAATTCTAAAGCTTGTGTAAAACACTGGTTTAGAATCGCTATTTTCTTATTTTTCTAAATAAAGCACCCTAATATAACCACTGGACACTCTCCCTCAACATCTAATTTTGTGGGAACACTTCGGACACTTGGATGTATTAGGAAGAATTTATATAGTAAAGATTCTAAACAAGTAATTATATTAAAAAAGTACGACAAAAAAGAATGCATTATCCACCGTCCACTATATTATAACATTTCCAAACAACTTACATAAGGAGAAGTATATCATTACTATTATATTCCATATAATATCAGTGAGTTCAATAAAAAATTGATTTATTTTTCCACTAAAAAGCAACTCAACGACAGCTCGTCAACATTTTCTTTGGTCTTTTACTATGTAACCAGTGTTTATACAGTTGAAGGAATTGTTTCCCAAACCATGAGACCTGATAAAGATTTGTTGACAAGCATGATAAATTTATCATTCAACTACAAAATACAATTAAAAGCAAAAACTAGTAGGCTTTTTCTAGGATTTAATAGCTTTCAAAACATTTCCTGAAATTATAAAGCAGAAAACTTCAAACTACTTACTGATCAAATTAACTTAATATTTTATAAGCAGTGATGAATGGTGACTAACGATGGAACCCAGGACGCGAATCTCTTCTTATTTCGGACTGGTCAAATGGATGTTGATATTCACTCCAAGACTCCAACCTGATATTGTTCGCTTTAAACCTTATCGCGTTATCAACAAGCCAGTGATTATATGGAATCAATAGCTAGTTGGATAACGTGATGATATTTGAAACGAACGATACTGGGTTGGAGTCCTAAAGTGAACTGCAACTTTGGGATGCAGTTAAATCTAGGTGACTAGTCCTCAATAGGAAGAAACACGCGTCCTGGACTCCATCATCCATCTCTGTTCATAATGTTTGTTACTAAATTTCAATATCAAAGCAACCCGCACAGGATGCACACGTGACAAAAGAGACTGATCAGTTGCCGTCCTAAGCATCAATGGGAAGATTCAAAAACACTAATGCAAATGAGCTTAGTATTTTTTTTCATGAAATCATTACATTTTAACTTTGGCCCACTGTTTATAATGTTAATACTATTGATTTTTTTTCTAGCTGAAATGATGTTTCAAGCATTATTCTGCCTTGGTAATACAACCTTATCCGTTGTACGATGCAAACCGATTCGCCTTGATAAAACAAAACCATCTGATGAAGAGAAAAGCACTGATCAAAATGACTTATTCCGAATTTACAATCATATTTCACTTCCTGATGACGAACATGTTTCAGTAAATGTTGATGTGAATCGATTATTAAACTATAATAATATTGGAATAATTTTACAAATATTTACACGAACAGATACATCGAATCACTTAAGACGTGTGGCAAATATTTCAATTGGTGTGACTAAATTAACCGATAACTTAGCATCAATTCAGTGGAACGCTTTAATTAAAGAGTTAAAACAATTGAAAAGTAATAACCAATTATTTGGATCAACGAAAAAATTCACTTATTGGCATTTAATGGAATCATCCTGATTAGGGCTCTTTTCTCTCACTTTTTTTCAACTCGTTAAATCAAATATAATTGAAATGAAATAAACATTTAAACAAATGAACAGTTGACATGTTATAAAAATATATTGTGTTTATAAGTTCATAGAGAAAACGTATGAACGCATCCATGCATACATACGTACACGCATGGATATATGCATACATATAAACATAGAAAAGTAAATTCATATAATTGAATATACCCCGTGACTTAGATATTTGCTATTGTTTATTTGTTTGAGTAGATGAGTTAACTTTTTTTCTGCATATTACAATATTTATAACTATTGATAACGCTGTCTTACCTACATTTTTATCGGATATACATAAAATATATTGTATACCTATTCAAAGGAGGGTATAGATCGGAGCTCATGGCTATATGTTTATATCTCTGACAAAACATCACCTTTCTTAATATTGAAGATATACTTCATTGTTCAGTACGAAGGAATATAAAAATATGGTCTAATTTAACTTGTTTTAAATTGCATCACCCAACAAAATTATTCTTATAAAGTGTATGTCTCTTACATTAGATAAATTGTGATAAAGTTTATAGGAAAAGACCAGTTAATGCACATTGATAATTACAAAGTGTTGATAAACTTTAAATGATTAATTATTGAGTACTGAACAGTCATATTAATTTAATCTTTACAGGGCTAATCGAAATCTGTAGATGAAATTACAATTTGATCACTAGTTTAAATAACTGGACATTAGATGAACTATTTTGAGGTATTATATGGTTAGAGGTTTACCATCAAGAAACTGTGAATCAAGGTGGTTCACATTCTTTTGTCAACCATTATCAAGCATCTTTCTAATATGTTGAATCTTGAATGAAAACATCTGATGAATGGAAGTGCGTATTTTACTGCATAGAATAAAATAATTAGTTAACATATCAAACAAAACATAATAATTTAAGATTGGTTAGTATTCGCTAGTAATAGACAATTATTGTTACGGAATTTTATTTCGTGAGAAAGCATGAGGTGTGCGCAATTATTTGAAAAATTATTGTTGTAAAGAATGATTCAGTGTATCATTTTAAATCAAGGCTAGTTCTGCTTAAGTAAAAAAGGTAGAACAATGAAAACTAACGTCCAGTGAGTCAGTCTTGAATTACGTAGAATATGAAGAACTTGTTCTTCTGATAAGTTTATCGCATAATATCGCTACAGCAAGATTAAATTACTAAGACAAATGTTAGATTTTTACAATTAACAGTGGTAGTAGTGGTACAGGTGGTATTTGAAAAGATTAGTTATGAGAGAAAACGATGATCCGAGGAATGATAAATCTTGAGATAAAATTTTAAAACTAAAAATCTAGAGGAAAACAAAACGCCTGATTCTTTTGGTATAAAATTTCTACAAGTAATCCATGTAGGAATTATTATTATCACTACTATTATTAGTAATTAGGTTAAAATGCAGTCACGGAAATGTAATGTGTGGGCTACATGTGATTCGTAGTTTTAGCCGCAAATGGTTTTTTTAATTAATAATAATTATTTGATGAACACAACTTTTAAAATCAACAGTTAATTATTCTCATTACTTGTTCAATATTGAAAATGAAAACCAGAGATTTACAAATGAAAATTTTATTTATCCAATAGAAACAGAACAATTGGATACATATATTTTAAATTTATATTTCAATAAATAAAATTAAATGCAGTGAAAATTCAACAGTCTCTGTTAATCTTTTATATCAGCATTGATAATAATATGCAGCCTTAAAGACAATTTTGAGATACAATTCCAGTTGTGATGAAAAGCCCTAAATAGTGGAATTCGACCATATCGGTAGTTAGAATGTCATTCATAATAGGGAATGGAGGATAGTTGGGTCAGTATTGTGAACTAGTAGAAATTAGACATTGGCACTGCTGGATTCCGGTTCAGACGTCAGGCGTTATCTGGGTGGTTGTGAACTTCGAGTTTGATTCCCGTTACTTATTTTATAAATATTGATTTTACTCTGGTTTGCGTAAGCGGCTGAAATGAATTGCATTCCAGGTAAAAATATTCACTTCATTCGTTTGAAATAGATAACGTGATTTTAAATGAGAAAGACTACAATCATGTAAATTAAGTTTATATGTTACATATAGCTTTCAACCACGCTGAGCAAATCTTCGAAAATACTTCTGTATTAAAAAATACGTGATATTACATAATAATATAGACAGACAACTATCGAAATATTAAGAAAGTAATTCTGTATGGATAATTGTTTTTTTCTCAGTGATATGCAATTTAATTTAGATGATTTTACGGTAGTGTTGAATTATGAATTGAACGAAGTTTGCAACTGCATATTCATGTGCGTACATCATATATGTTATATATAGTCGGTAGGGTTATTTATGTTCAAAAACAGAACCTGAAAATTAAATTATTTCCACTAAGCTACTTTTTAGCAGTATGAAAAAGTTGTTTTTTTCACGCTACTCTTCATCTTAAACGGTAAGCAAACAAATACAGTCGTGTTGGTGAAAATAAGCACGATTCATTCAGTAGGTCACTCATGATTTAATAAAAGTGAATGGCGTACGGCATTCAGACAAACCAAGAACTTTACAATTGCTTTTTATGTTTTAAAATGGCAAATTAGGAGTAACCATGCAAACGTTGCTTAGTTACAGATGTAAACCTACCAAACTACTGCAGTTCGTTAGAACATTTTCTGGTGGAATGGCTAGCTCACTTCATCTCCATTATCAACAGTAGTATGAATCGTTTCAGTAATTAACAACAATCGAACAAAAAAACTTTAAATTAATAGTTCAACAAAACGGTTTATTTGAAACATTTGGAAATATATGAAGTCATAGATCTCCAAACAAAGAAAGGAAGGGAAAAGTACAACAACAATAAAAAGGAAACATATTGTAAGCAAAAGTTAAAAATTTGCAGTTCAGTACAAACATAATGATTCGTTTTTCAAAACCCGAAAAAATCCAATATCCTTAGATGAATTGAAGTACTACACGTATATAGTCAAGTTAGAGAAGTACCAATAACGGCACTTACAAAACGGTAGTAGTAAATAAAAAAGCAGGAAGAGTTAAAACAAACCACAGGATAAAGAGAAAGGTGATGATATGTTTGTGCATACGATTGGTGATTCAGAAAACAATTCACAAAAGCAATAATGATTTTGGAGGAAGAAAAAAATTAAACTTCATTTCCGTTTAGTGATATGTGTACATTACTTTAAAACTTTTAGTAGTATAAGATGAGATCAAAAAACATTGAAAATGAATGTTCAGCATAAAACACCTAGAAGAAAATTGCCAAAAAACCAATATAAGTTAGCATGTAAACTAACAAGAGAAATTGACGTCAAAGCTGTTTATTTTTAAGTTAATTAGTAGTTTAAAACAAAAGCTGTGTTCAAAATTCAATTAGTTCAGTAATTTGAAGAGAAAACTGATGAAAATGTCATTATTACTTTAACGAAATTCTAAGTGCTTTCATCAAACTATAATGAAATTCCTGAAAAAGCTGAAATGGAAAAATATTTAATCATCAACACAGTCGTTTCTATCAGCTGAGTTTATCCATAATGTGTTTTCAATATTAATTGTATCATACACAACACTTCTCATAATTTTATTGCTGATTCATGAAGTGAGTGCTGTGTACATATATCCTTTCACTAAAGATTTCAGTCATATTGACTAAATTTATACACAATTGTTCAATCTGAACATATCTAGCGTATCCCTGCTTAACATTCCATATGAATGCCTGAGTTTTAGTATGATTTGTTTAGTGAACGTTGGAAAAGTTGTAGATAAGTTCATACACTATTATAACTAAAGAAATAAATGAAACAATGGCAATGCAAATGAACACTTAAGCTAGTAACTTGTGACTAAATACACCAAAGAGATGTAACTGAAATCCTAATAAATTTAATCAAATTCCATTTCTCACTGAGATGAAATTTAAATAATCAAACAGCTACATTTTGCTTTATGATAAAAAAAACTATATACAGATGATCATTGTTGGTTGTAATCTAACTTTTAACTCAATATTTGTTGTTGTTATCTTTTACAGTTTATAAAATGAAATCAAGTAGTTATAAATTTGTCGATCAACCTTATAAAAAAATACCATATTTATGTAACCATTGAGAATGATCATGCGTAGTACGTTGTGATGCGATGTGCTACTCATTCAATCATATGAACAAATAAATATTAAATCCGATCTTTTAGTGCTCTGATGTGTTGTTTGAAAATGTTTGATGAAAATAAGAGAACGATTTCACTTCAAAACAAATGAAGCCTTTGGAAAGCAAACTATCTTCATGAGTCCTTGATCAGTGCGTAACAAATATTTTCTAAATAAGACTTTACAAAGATGAAACTTGAAACTGTTCCAAGTAAACTGGTTTCAGGATGGCTAACATTGTATATATCATAAACTATTTAGGAAATAATATCAATCCATATATTTTAATTTTGCTTATAGCACACAGAAAAAAACATACAGCAATCCATTCAAGGTAAGAATAACAACTACACTACTTACCTTATTAATTTATAAAATTCTGAATATATGGTATTGAATTCAGCTGGATCTCTTGATGATTATTAGGACTAAGTATTTGATAAACTATTATAAGAAAATTGTCCCTGACGTGTAAGATCATTTTCAGACTTTAATTCACTGGGGATTATTTATGAGCACGATGTCTTTGGATTGGTTGTTAAATTTGGATTTGATGACATAATGGACACTGTACGTTTCATCGTAGACCCAGCATTTATATTAACACCAATATTTCTGCCCGTTGATTCGTGTGAATTAGTCAGAGATAAAGGCATGACTGGATGAAATGCCGTAATATTTGTATTCATAGCGGATGCGTGCTACAGTTTAATTTAAGTAATTGTTAAAACATATGGTTAGTTTGTTTTTAATGTATTAATTGTTATAAACAAATATATTTTAGTTAAGTTTACTACTTATTTCGAGAATAATACATATCCAAAAAACAGACTGTAATAAAGTGAGTAACTTCAACTCAACGAATTCAAGATAGGCTTTAGCAACAGGTTTCAAACCGTACAAGATTAACTGGAAAGGGATCGAAGAAGCACTAACATTGAAGTACCAGGTGATGATAGGCTGAGAGGAGTATTATCACAAAGAAGCGATCCCTATAGATATACCAGGCAAGATTTAAGAATGAAAGAACAAGAAGACATCAATTAACAACAGTCGAACAAGAACAGAAAAAGTCAAAGCACAGGTTGAATACACAAAAGCAGACGAGTAAGTGAAGAGAAACATTAGAACCGAAAAGCAAAATACGTGAAAGAGTTAGCAATGACAACAGAAAAAGCTGTAAGAGAAGGAAATATGCAACAACTTTATAACATGATAAAAAAACTGGCACGGAAATATAATAAATCAGAGAGACCGGTCAAGGACAAACAAGGCAAGCAAACCACTGGAATTCAAGAACAGAGGAACAGGTGGGTGGAACAATTCAAGGAACTCTTAAATAGAACAGCTCCATTGAATCCACAGAATATCGAAGCAGCACATACAGACCTTCACATAAATGTCACTCCACCAACGATCGAAGAAATCAAGATGGCCATCAGACAGATCGAGTGTGGTAAAGCAGCAAGATCTAACAATAAACCAGCCGAAGTACTAAGCTCAGGCATAGAAGTAACTGCAAACATGCTCGACGTTCTACTCAGGAAGATTTGGGATGAACAACAAGTGTCGATGAACTGGGAGGAAGGTTACCTCATCAAGACACCAAAGAAAAAAGTCTGAACAAACGTGGAAAGCATAGAGGCGTCACACAATCTGATCACACGTAATATATTTGTTAAGAACATTTATATCTGAAGAATAAAAGGCTAACTAGACCGGAAATGGGCGGTAAGAGTAGACAAGGATGATAATAATAACAATAATTATAATAACAATAATAATAAAATTGTGAAAACAATTTGGAACCTGATCACTCTGGATAATAAGCAAATATTACGACGGTATTCGAAATTTATAAAACGGACTAATTGCTTTATATTTCTTAAAACAGTGATAAAATTTCATCATCCCCCCAGTTATATTTCATTTGTCCTACTGTGCTTGTTGAAATCTTGTGTCAGTTGTTTCATGCTAATCTCGGATCTTGGTGATTTTGTGATTGGAAATGGACAACATTGGTTTTGAACTGTGAATCAAGTTGTCACGACTTAAGTGATTTCGTTTGAATTAAAGAATTTGACAGCATAATGCATCCCTTAAGATTATATATATAATACATGAATGTCAACCTTCCGTTCATTATAGACTTTATTCGTCGCACTGTAACCTGTGTGTAAAATCAATGGGTGTATCTTAATAAAATGTGTGTGTACCTGTAACAAACAATTAAACATGATAATACCTTTCACAAGCATTAAATTCTTTGACTATAAAAAAGAATTTGACAACGTGGATAGAAAGACAACATGGAGCTTTTTTCGACACTATGTTGTACCTGAAAAGATCGTCAACACCGTACGGAATTCATACAGCAGATTTCACTGCAATGTTATGCGCGTAGAACAGCTGTCAGATGCATTCCAAGTGAGGACTGGTATTAGGCAAGGCTGCTAACCCCCCAAATTTATCTTTCATCCGATGGTCGACTACGTTATGAAGACCTCAACATCTTAGTGGAAGCACGGAATACGTTGGACAGAAAGTTTGGATTTCGTAGATGACCTAGCTCTGTTATCCCATACACATCAACAAATCCAGGTGAAGACAACCAGTGTAGCACCAGCCCCTGAATCTGTAGGCCTCAGCATACACAAGGGAAAAAAACAAGACCCTCAAACACAACACAGAGAGCATCAACCATATCACACTTGATGGAGAAATTCTGGAAGAGATGGAAAGTTTTATGTACCTGAGAAGCATCATTGATAAACGAGGAGGATATGATGCAGGTGTAAAGGCACGGATTGGCAAAGCAGGGACAAGGTTCCTAATATTGAAGGACATATAGAACTGAAAACACCTATCAGTCAATAGCAAAGTGAAAAGCCATGACCAGTGGAATCCGATCCGTGTCGAGTGGAGTCAGTTATCTACCTTAGTCAATTGATGAAGGGTTGTGCATAATCATGAAACGATCGAAGTTAAACATGAGCACTGTCGGATGCCGGCTCAGTGGTCTAGAGGTTAAGCGTTCACGCGCAAGACTGAAGGTCCTGGCTTCAAGTCCCGCGTGCAGGATCGTAATTGCACATTGGACTACAACCACCATCAAAAAGGTACAGGCATTTGTAAATAGTTGTCTACTCAAGATACTCAATTTCCGTTGACCAGACACCGTCAGAGACCTTCGACTGTGGCTTAGAACAAACAAGATTTCAGATGAAGAGGAGGTTAGGGAAAGACGCTAGAGGTGGATAGGACATACATTACGGAAATCACCACGAGCCAAGCCTTGACTCAGAATCATCGATGCAAAAGGAAAAGAGGCAGACCAAAGAACACACTGAGCTGATAACTGGAGGTAGACATCAAGAGAATGAATATCTATTGGAAACAACTGGAAAGTAGAGCCTTGAACAGAGTTGGTTTGAGAATCCTAGTCGGAGGCCTTGGCTCACACGTGGGGTAGCAGGCGTAAGTAAGTGTGTAAGTAAAGTAATTAACAGAAAGCTCAATCTAAAGAAAATCTGAAAAGGAGTAGAGTTTTCAAAGTGATAAGTTGTATAGTTAACAGTCATTTTCTGATGAATATTTAATAAATTTTGCAACAATATTTTATATCTACGTTTTGACTGTTCATCATTGTGTGTTTGACTGAATTAAGTTAACGATGATAGTAACTTCATAAAATCTGAAGATCGAAGGCTAATTACGGTAGAAATCCGACAATAATTATGTGAAAATGAGATTCATGTTTCAAGAAGATTATTTGTTCTGAAACTCCTCTTCTTCGAAACAGACTAATAAACAGTCAATATCATCCAAGGAAACCTATAAAGACATTTCATGATACATAGGTTCAGACGATTATCTGCCTTTTCAATATGATGATTAAAACCAGTCGAAAGTCAGCTTTATACGCGTACAGTATTTCGCCAATCTAATGCACTTCAAGGGTTAATATTTATCAGATATTTTTAAAGGAATTAATGCATAGATAAGAGATCCTAGTGATTAGAACAATAATGAGATGATAATTTTCTAACAGTTTATTTTTACGGGTTTATTGGACTGTTTTTAAACAATAGTACCAAATCGTATATATATAAACTGGTTTTGAAGTACTCTCAGTTATTCATAATTTTCCATGCATTGATGCGAAAGATAAAATAGCACAGTATCCCTTGTCAATGCTTGCATTAGTTGGAGACTAATGAATTAAATTGAGACAACTGAAAAGCTTCTTTATCTTCATTCTGATATTAATATCAGTACTACTACAATGGCAATAAATGCAGACAGAATCACTCTTTAGAAAACACACTACAGTAGTAACAGAGATCAAACAAGTTCTTTTAATCGGGCAAAGTAAATGAAGTTTATTATGAATGAAAAAAACCTAGAATTTTATTTTCTACTAAATCTAATAGTGAATGAGATAACACATTATTCTGTTAAAAGAAAGGTTTATAGCACTCTTTAGTTAGAGTGTACGAGTAGGTGGGAGGAAGAGTAGGAACGAACAACGCAAAACATGACATCAGTTCATAAAGTTATTGACTGTTGGTCTGAGCCATATCGGGCGGTGAACATTACTTAATGAAAACTCTTGCGGTTGTTATAGTCAGTAGTTTGAGACATCGAATGAAACTGGTCAGCGTTGGATGGTAAATAGTAAAGTAGAAGCAGCCACCCTTTAACTTCCCTTAGAATTTGAGTTTTAAAATTATCTTACACTTTAATTCATTTATGTATCGGTTGTTTGAATCCTTCCATTGATGTTTAGAACATAAGCTGATCAGCCAATTACTAACATATGTGCATACTGTGTGGGTTGTTTCGATATTGCCTTAAGTTCAAAGCAATATAAGCATTCTAAGTACATATTCTTGATTCTCAACTTATAATGTCTATGTATTATTTTTTTAACTACGACTGCTGCTACCATTAACTCCGCCTGTAGCTCCTCTGGGGGTTAATGCCGGTCCCAAGCCCGGGTAAAGGAGGAAGGTTGGGCATGGAGTTAGCGACCCCATCCCGTAGAAAATCAACTCGCTAAAAAAACTCTAACCAGAAAAAATCATTCAAACCATTCAAACTCTGCCCTGGGAGTAGAAGGAAAAATGACGTCTCATGATGAAAGCTGAGTTCCTTCGGAAGTCATGAGGCCGATGCACCTTGTTACAACCAGAGCGACAATTTTTATAGGTACATGGAATGTCCGAACAATGTGGGAGACCAGAAGAGTCTTTCAAATCGCTGCATAAATGAGAAAATACAACCTAGAGGTGCTTGGAATCAGTGAAACACATTGGACGCAGGTTGGACAACAACGACTGTCTTCAGGAGAACTCTGGTCATGAAGAAGAAAATGCCTCACATACACAAAGAGTTGCATTGATGCTGTCTAGAAAAGCACAAAATGCACTTATTGGATGGGAATCTCATGGACCAAGGATCATCAAAGCCTCCTTCAAAACAAAGAGAGAGGGCATTACAATGAACGTCATCCAATGCTATGCGCCTATCAACGACTACGATGAAGACTCTAAAGACCAATTCTACGATAGGCTGCAGCGATCTACGAGAAGTGCCCAACTACGGACCTGACCATTCTGATGGGAGATTTCAATGCTAAGGTTGGAAAGGACATCACTGGATACGAAGACGTCATGGGACAACATGGACTGGAAGAAAAGAACGAAAATGGTGAGAGATTTGCAAACCTATGTGCCTTCAATAAACTGGTCGTAGGTAGCACCATATTCCCACACAAAAACATACGAAAAGCCACTTGCATTTCACCGGATCACACTACACAGAATCAAATCGACCATATCTGCATCAACAAAATGTTCAGGAGGACGATGGAGGATGTGAGAACCAGAAGAGAAGCCGATATAGCATCCAATCATAATTTGCTGGTCGCCAAGATGAAACTAAAACTCAAGAAGCACTGGACAACGGTGCGGACAACATCACAAAAGTTTAATACGGCCTTTCTTCGAGATGCTGACAGACTCAACAAATTCAACATAGCCCTCAGCAACAGGTTCCAGGCCTTTCATGATCGTTTCAACATGTCAAGAGGTTCTGTTCCAAAAGAAGCACTATCACAAGGAATGGATCACTGTTGGTACACTGGATAAAATTGAAGAAAGGAGGAACAAGAAGGCAGCAATCAATATCAGCCGAAACAGAGCGTAAAAAGCCAATTCACAAGCCGAAAACGCAGAGGCAAACAAGCAAGTGAAGAGGAGCATCAGAACTGACAAACGTAAATATGTGGAAGATTTAGCGATGACAGCGGAAAAGGTTGCAAGAGAGAGAAACATGAGACAACTGTATGATACAACAAAGAAACTTGCTGGAAATTACCGTAAGCCAGAAAGACCAGTGAAAAGCTAGGAAGGCAAAGTAATCACCGACATTGAAGAACAACGAAACAGGTGGGTAGAACACTTCAAAGAACTCTTAAATCGACCAGCTCCATTGAACCCACCCAACATCGAAGCAGCACCCACAGACCTCCCAATCGATGTTGGCCCACCAACAATTGAAGAGATCAGCATGGCCATTAGACAAATCAAGAGCGGCAAAGCAGCGGGACTAGACAACATCCCGGCAGAGGCACTGAAAGCAAATGTAGCAGCAACTGCCAAGATACTCCACATCCTCTTCAATAAGATTTGGAATAAAGAACAAGTACCAACAGACTGGAAAAAAGGACTTCTGATCAAGATACCAAAGAAAGGCGATCTCAGCAAGTGCGACAACTACAAGGGCATCACTCTTCTCTCAATACCAGGAAAAGTCTTCAACAGAGTATTGTTAAACAGGATGAAAGATTCAGTGGACGCCCAACTTCGAGATCAACAAGCTGGATTTCGTAAGGATAGATCGTGCACAGATCAAATCGCAACTCTACGTATCATTGTGGAACAATCGATCGAATGGAATTCATCACTCTACATCAACTTCATCGACTACGAGAAGGCATTTGATAACGTGGACAGGACGACACTATGGAGGCTTCTTCGACACTACGGCGTGCCTGAGAAGATAGTCAATATCATACGGAACTCCTATGATGGACTAAACTGCCAAATCGTCTACGGAGGACAACTCACCGACTCGTTTGAAGTAAAGACCGGTGTTAAACAAGGTTGCTTACTCTCACCCTTTCTCTTTCTCCTGGTGATCGACTAGATCACGAAGACGTCAACATCTGTAGGAAAGCACGGGATACAGTGGACAGGCAGGATGCAGCTTGACGATTTAGACTTCGAGGATGATCTGGCTATTCTATCACAAATGCAACGACAAATGCAAAAGAAAACGACCAGTGTGGCAGCAGCCTCAGTAGCAGTAGGTCTCAATCTAAACAAAGAGAAAAGCAAGACTCTCCAATACAATACAATATGTAAAGCAACCATCCTACAATCAATTTCGATTATAGCCAATTTTGGTTAAGCCCTTTTTTATAACTTAATTAACAGACATCGTCATTTGGATAGTAAATATTTGCATATTCTTTGCACTGCTATACCACTAGAGCACATGACACTCCAGCCGAAATGTTGACTCCTTAAATATCATTCGATGACTCATACTCCTCCCCATATATGTATGCACGCAAATATTATTATCAGCCTTTGCATTGCTGTGCCCTTATTAAATTTGACTATAAATTACCTATGTAATTGCTTTCTATTCGCTCGCTTGCTCCTCGTTCGTTTCCTTCGCTTGTTCGCCTGTTCACTCGCTCGTTCATATTCGCTCAGGTGTTGTTAGCTCCCGAACCTGAGTTATTCGACAATAAAATGTAGTTGCTGCTATCCTTTGTCTTCTGATTTTACGCGCCGTTAAGTCTAGAATTATAACGGTTATCAAAGTAAACGGTTAACGAATCGCGGCACTACATATGCACCAATCAAATTACACTTCACGGAGAAGCTTTGGAAGATGTGGAAACCTTTACATATCTGGGCAGCATCATTGATGAACACGGTGGATCAGATGCAGATGTAAAGGCGCGGATCGGCAAAGCAAGAGCAGCATACCTAAAACTGAAAAACATCTGGAGCTCAAAACAATTGTCAACCAACACCAAGGTTAGAATTTTCAATACAAATGTGAAGACAGTTCTATTGTATGGGGCGAAGACATGGAGAACTACGAAAGCCATTATCCAAAAGATACAAGTGTTCATTTACAGCTGTCTGCGCAAGATACTTCGGATCAGATGACCAGACACTATCAGCAACAACCTCCTGTGAGAGAGAATATACCAGATTCCAGCAGAGGAGAAAATCAGGAAGAAGCGCTGTAAGTGGATTGGGCACACTTTGAGGAAATCACCTAATTGCGTCACAATACAAGCCCTCACATGGAATCCTGAAGGTCAACGGAGAAGAGGAAGACCAAAGAACACATTACGCCGAGAAATAGAGACAGACATGAGAAGAATGAACAAGAACTGGAAAGAACTAGAAAAGAAGGCCCAGGACAGAGTGGGTTGGAGAAAGCTGGTCGGCGGCCTATGCTCCATTGGGAGTAACAGGCGTAAGTAAGTAAGTAAGTAAGTAAGCTGCTACCATTATTTCTAATAATTAGCTATTTGTATTGATTATTGCATCTCACTATGAAAATATCTGTCTTCCCTTAAACTATGAGATTAAAATTGCTTTATGTCTTTCTTTCTTGCTGTACTATATCCTTATATATAATCTTTCTTTTATATGTTACCACCATTAAATTAACTCCTTCTATGAATTCTGTGTTCATCTTGTTGTGCTAATGAGGTTACCTGATCCTACGTTGTAGCTGACTGACTGACTACAATTATCCATGAACTCAAACGTTGTATCTGTAGTATATTATCAACAGATGACTGTTATTACTTTGGTACGATGAAAATCATAATGCAAGTTATAAATGTTAGTACTGATTACTTAACATACTTCTTCATACAATTTTAAACGTGTTCTCAATCGTTCCACTTCAGCTGTCAATCGATAATTTTCACATTCTAGTTCTAAAAATAAATAGAACATATAACTACTTTTTAGAAATATTGACATATTATGACATCACTTACGAATAGTAACAGAATACCTAAACGTAATAATTCTACCTATATGACACCCAGTTATATTGTTGAACTAAGCATTCATTATATATTTGTTCACAGTTAATTTTAGAGTCTTTGATGTCAAATCCGTTCATAGAGTGAAGATTATTGATCCCTTGTCACATCATTAGTGTACACTGGTAGAACATTTCAAACTAGAGTTCCATATTTCTTAACTACTTTTCAACTGATATCGTTTCATTATTTTTATTTCCAAAGAGGAATTTATCATTAAAAAAATACTTTTGCTTTAATCTATAATTTGTAAAGTATACAATTTGATTAATTCGAAATGAATGGAAGGCAAGAGTATGCCATACTAACAACTTTCAATGACTAACTAGCCATTCATGAAACAGTGCTTGGTTATAAAATAATTACTAATGGAAAGGAATAAAATTACAGAGGAATAATAGTTTAGATATGACCAACTCTTAGGTGTTAAATTATTCATCACAGTAAAAGAAAAAAAGGTCAGATTTACATATCAGTCGAGCTAGTGTTATTAGCCTATAGGGTCTCATCACCAATTGACATTATCTATCATGCTTAAGGTTAGGATTAGGAATCAAGAGTTTAACTAGAGTTATGAATTAGAATTATGAATTAGGGTTCTCATCAATAACTAACATCAATTATAACGCAATGAAGCTTTGCTATTTTTTTGGTATATAAACATAAGAAAGTGAAGGGTGAGGTTTAAAATTGAGAGTTAGTGTAGGAGAACATTATCATATTCGGTGATTAGTTGCATAATAAGTATTTTTATCAACTTCAAACGTTTTATCAATTAAATATAGCCAATTTTTGCTTGGTTTATAATTACGTGCAAACTATCCTTTACTGAGCTCTCAATTTCGTGCAAAAATCCATAAGGTGCTATATTGATTCTTTTTGATTCACTGAAATCCGTTAGTATAATATACTTTTACACAAAACGAATCGAATTTGTGCATACATTTTGTGATTAGTTTACAATGAATGGATTTTCAAATCTTATTGAAATGTCCTCTAAAAATGATGACCAGTATCCTGTTGATACGTTGTTCAGAAACAAAAATACTTGGAAAATTCAAATAATTTGCATTATTTTCTGCATTTTAATTGACTCTAATAATTTTTAAATAAAACCTCTTATTGGATATCAGTAACGAAACGTATGCAGTAAGTTGCTATCTAAAATAGTGTAATTAAAGAAAACTGTGTAAGTGATTTCACATTAAAACATTCGTTAGTTGCTTGAAAGAATCAAACAAACTATTTCAACTAGGCAATATCGCTTATTATTAGTATTATTATTGCTATTTTATTGTATCCAAGGTTATATTTTGTAAGCTACACAGGATTTGAACTGTTTTCAATCATTTCTGTTTATATACACTAGTTTTGTACCTTCTTCCCATCTTTTTTTATGTTTATCACAGCTGTGAGTAATATTACGGGCAAACATTTCAGATATAAGCTGAATCCTATGAACTATCAATAAATTTATGTTCAACCAAAGGGTGAGTGCACTGAACAGCAGTCCACTCTGTATTTCTCTAGGGTTGTGAAATGTTGCCTATTTAATCGGAAGATATATCAAAGCTTAGGTTACCGATTTTAGATGTCATCGAAGGATTGAGCACATTTTATGAAACGACTGAGTTAATAATGTTGACGTTATCCATAAAGTACCAGACAGTGATTGCAAAAAGTTTGATAAGGTCGCAAACTTACATAAACTGAGACGATGAAGAAGTGTATTAAGTATGCCTAACCACTGCTAACCTCGAAAGATGATGTGAATTGTTGTAGTTGTCTGGATGGAAACTAGGAGGTGACCAAACCAAAAGTGACATCAGTTCATGAAGTCAATGACGGTTTGAATTAGTTATGTTGTTAGGTACACAGTGGTTAGGGTTCACGCGGTAAATTCGATCAGTGGTTTGAGGCTATTATAACAGAGTGACAATGAGGAAAGTTGAATTTTGAAACTGTGCTACCTGAAGTTTTTGTTTCTATTTTGTTCTTTAATTTAAAAATATTTAAAATACTGTATTTTTGTATTCTCTTGCTTGTAAGCCATTGTCGATGTATAAACTGTTGTTATATGTTATATTTTTCTTAGGTTGATTTTAATTTATTATGGACCTATTGTTCAGTCCTATTTCACCTTTGGCGTAGTTATGCTTTGATTGCAATTTATTACTTATCATGATTAGTGATCAAGATTTTATTCTAGATCATTGTATGAGATTTGAGTTATGATTATATTGACTAGAACGAAGAACTGATCTATCTTTTTCCTTCATCTTCTGATTGGCCACTAAGTTAAAAGGAGTACAGAGACCAATAAGAGTTAATGCCTTGCTTGTTGTTCATTGGTCGACTTATCAAACAGCAATTAAGCTATCGGTTCTACTAGCGGTAATAAAGGTGAACTAATCAATAGGCGGACTAGACCTGATCATACGGACCCCATGACACTTAAACCAGTAAAACAAACTGTTGTTGTTTATTCAGACATAACAGAGAATTCGGTTGAAAAATGGATCCAGAACGATCAAAATAGAGCAGAAGAGTTCACTCTCCAGCTTAATCTAGATATTGTTTTCCAGTACTCTTTCATATCTCTCTTTCTGCACCATATTCCAAATATTTAGTCCTTCGCAATATTATTTCTACTCCACTATTTCAAGTCCTTTACCACTCATTTTGTTAATTTCATCTCATTTCCACAAAGTGGAATGACATATTTTGTTAGTGTTTATTCGTAACGAGCTCTACGTTGATAATGACTAATGACTAACTGGAAGTTGTGTTTAAGATAATAACTTGATTGAAGATGTAACTTCTACCTCATGCTAATTCAAATAAATGTTTTCATAGCTATCGAAAAAAAACAAAAATGTTAATTCGTGATGGAAGCCAAATCCAAACTCATCATATTTTGTAGCATTCTCTTTATTTCATTACAAACTACATGTTTGCCAAATTATTTTAGAAGTTGGTAAAATAAGGAAATGGTAAATTCTTCAGGATGTGAAAATGAAGTACAAAGTAACCTGAGGAATTTCACGCTGAGGTAAAACAGCCGTCTAGAGATTCCACTTTTTCGATGGTGGTCTAACACTGATTGGTTCACGACCTCAATAAAAACTTAACAATCTCTACAACCCCAAACGGATAGTTACCTGCGAGGTTTGTTCATGAATGTTTTTTAATAAGTTTTCGAATAATTAATTCCGGTGAGTTAAAGATAGTCATGTTACTATGTGACAGAATAAAGCAAAGTTCTAATAACATAGACGACAGATGTTTGAGTGAAACTCAGTAAAATTTCGTACGTCCAATTTCGTCAGCAAATTTGAAATAAAGTAAACTTGTCGATAAAAGTTTAGCATATGGGTGAGCCAATTATAACTGAGAGAATTACTTTTGACGTTTTGAGGTCAATTCAAAAGTAAATGACTTTTGTCTCATATATCGTAAAACGAGCAACAGACATTTTGCCGTATAGTAATTATAACGAAAATTATTGTCATTATATTAATAAAAAATGACAGTTTTAAACGCAAGAAATGTTCAGTTTATTCTACCAACTTTGAATATTACATGTAAATCAAGTTTAACTGTAACTCCGACCCGTAACCCTAAATCATTAGTTCTAACTCTAAACTCAACCACCAACATTTTATAGACTCCTAAAAACGATTTGCTTCCTTATAAGGGTTCAAGAAGACTGATGTTCTATAGATATTTGGATGAATCTAAATCATTACTTTTTAGTTACTGACTAAAGAACGTTTGAAAAACTTCAATTATTTTTGCAAAATCACTGTAGCAATATGGTTTATTGCTGCAAGTTATTCATTCACAATGGCTGTTTTTTTATTGGTTAACAGCTGGACAAAATTTGTAAGTTATTTCTAAAATCGCTACCTATATTATGCTATACTCATACTGTGGTGTGAGCTACTGATATCGACATAAGTAGTATATATGGTGAGTGAGGAATAGAATATCTGACAGCAGAAGATTGAGAAGATCAAGAAGAGAAGAACAGAAATAAAAAGCAATTTGTGTGGAAATCCAGGAACAATGAAGTCTGAGGCAGTTGAAGAACATTTTGCAAATAGTGTATCATAGCATGGTTTTTATATTTTACCAAGTAACGTAATTTGTGCTAAATACATAGTTGGTTGTCCCCACCTGTGTTATTATTCACAACAATACTAACTTATTAACTTGTTTATCATTAATTATCAAAGGGGGTTTTGTGGAGATTTAGTATTTTTCATAGTTTTAAAGCATGAGTCAATTGAAGCTAGACCACCATGGAAAACCTGGAAACACGGCCGTTTCGTCCTACTATGGGACTCCTCAGCGGTGCGCATCCACGAACCCGCTCGCGCGAGATACGAACCCAGGACCTACCAGTTTCGAGCCGAAGCCCTTAACCGATAGACCACTGAGCTGGCATCCAACGGTGTTAATGTCTAACTTCAACTGATCCACGAAGTTGAGCAACCATTCACCAATTGTCTTCAGTGAGTTCCTATCTCACAACAGACGTGGTTTTGAACTCCACTGGTCACTGCTTCTCACTAGAGCTCCTAGTTATAAGGACGAAACGGCCGTCCAGTGTTTCCAGGTTTTCCATGGTGGTCTAGCTTTAATTGACTCATGCTTTAAAACTATGAAAAATACTAAATCTCCACAAAACCCCCTCTGATAATTAATATAATCATATGCTCACCAGTGACTTCGAGAAGTATAACTAGGAGCTCTAGTGAGAAGCAGTGACCAGTGGAGTTCAAAACCACGTCTGTTGTGAGATAGGAACTCACTGAAGACAATTGGTGAATGGTTGCTCAACTTCGTGGATCAGTTGAAGTTAGACATTAACACCGTTGGATGCCAGCTCAGTGGTCTATTGTTTATCATTAACAAGAAACATAGAAGAGCTACAATTCATATTTGATATTGAACAAACCTTGTTATTCGGGATCTAATTTTTTGTTATTTAACTAGTATTATCTATAATTCACTTGAAGAACTTATTAAAATGAATTAATATTAAAGATACTTCTCCTTACGGTATTGTCGTATTAGTTCAAAAGAACTACTGAAAATCTATGATTACTGAACAGTCGTTTTGTTTTCAAGTGCATATTACACTCTTAGAAAAAAGAGTATATATCTGTAATATCATGCATAATTGAACATGTTTGATTCATAAATTACTTTAAGTCACTTACTGAACACCAGTTATTATATGTTGACAACGTCAATCAGTTTACATTGTATCGTGATAATGTTCTCTACTATCGATGATAATAGAGTAATACAATAAACTGTTACACATACTTTAGTTAACATTACCTTTATTTCTTATGTCGTCATCTTGAACTAATTTAGGACTATTTCTAGTCGTCGATGGGCAGTAATCTCTTCTGAAGATTTCTGTTTCATTTCCTTCTTGTGTGAATTCACTTACGTCTATTTTTTTCTCTTGAGGTCTTCTTGACTGTTCCAAGCTTAATATATGATTTCCATTGAGTAACTCTTGTTGGGATGTATGATTTTTACTTTCATCTATGTAATAATTGTTAACATCATTGCTATGATTACTGATGTTTCTTGTATGACCGTTAGATGTTACTTCTATGTGCGGAATTGATTGTGATTTACCAATGGTTGAATAAATTCGACTAGTGGAAGATATTGTAGATGGTAAAGTAGCGAATGCGCCATTAGTCGGAGAATATTTTGATAAATTATTTTTTAATTCACTTATTTTATAACGAGCAAAGCTTTCTGAAACTGCTTCTTCAATAAAATTCTATAGATAAGATGAGAAACGTTTGAATAAAACTTTATGGTTAAATTATTGTTATTCACGAGATATTTATCAATCAGTATGAATGACTATGATATTTCATTAGTATTATGTATAGTTGTTGTAATGTTGTGCATTAAAAATGCTCTTCAGTGCATATTGCAAATAGATGATTTAGACTTCGCAGGTGATCTAGCTCTGTTATCCCATACACAACAACAAATCCAGGTGAAGACAACCAGTGTGGCACCAGCCTCTGAATCTGTAGGCCTCAGCATACACAAGAGGAAAAACAAGATCCTCAAATACACCAACCAAATAACACATGATGCAAGAGGTGAAAGCTTTCAACAGCAGCATCATTGATAAACGAGGCGGATATGATGCAGGTGTAAAGGCACGGATTGGCAAATAAAGGGCCACATTCCTGCAGTTGAAGAACATATGGGACTCGAAACAACTGTCAATCAGTAGCAAAGTTAGAATCTTCCATAAGAATGTTAAGACAGTTCTACTGTACGGAGCTGAAACGTGGAGAACCATTACAAAAATCATCAAAAAGGTGAAAAGTATTGATAAACAATTAAGCACGCAAGATAGTGACTTTACGTTAGCCGAATACCATCAGCAATAGACTATTGTGGGAGAAAGAAAACCAGCCCATAGTTGAAGAAGAAATCAAGAAGAAACACTAGACGTGGACAGGACATACATTAACGAATACTCATCAGAAAATGACTGTTAACTATACAACTTATCACTTTGAAAACTCTACTCCTTTTCAGATTTTCTTTAGATTGAGCTTTCTGTTAATTACTTTACTTTCACACTTACTTACGCCTGCTACCCCACGTGTGAGCCAAGGCCTCCGACTAGGATTCTCAAACCAACTCTGTTCAAGGCTCTACTTTCCAGTTGTTTCCAATAGATATTCATTCTCTTGATGTCTACCTCCAGTTATCAGCTCAGTGTGTTCTTTGGTCTGCCTCTTTTCCTTTTGCATCGATGATTCTGAGTCAAGGCTTGGCTCGTGGTGATTTCCGTAATGTATGTCCTATCCACCTCTAGCGTCTTTCCCTAACCTCCTCTTCATCTGAAATCTTGTTTGTTCTAAGCCACAGTCGAAGGTCTCTGACGGTGTCTGGTCAACGGAAATTGAGTATCTTGAGTAGACAACTATTTACAAATGCCTGTACCTTTTTGATGGTGGTTGTAGTCCAATGTGCAATTACGATCCTGCACGCGGGACTTGAAGCCAGGACCTTCAGTCTTGCGCGTGAACGCTTAACCTCTAGACCACTGAGCCGGCATCCGACAGTGCTCATGTTTAACTTCGATCGTTTCATGATTATGCACAACCCTTCATCAATTGACTAAGGTAGATAACTGACTCCACTCGACACGGATCGGATTCCACTGGTCATGGCTTTTCACTTTGCTATTGACTGATAGGTGTTTTCAGTTCTATATGTCCTTCAATATTAGGAACCTTGTCCCTGCTTTGCCAATCCGTGCCTTTACACCTGCATCATATCCTCCTCGTTTATCAATGATGCTTCTCAGGTACATAAAACTTTCCATCTCTTCCAGAATTTCTCCATCAAGTGTGATATGGTTGATGCTCTCTGTGTTGTGTTTGAGGGTCTTGTTTTTTTCCCTTGTGTATGCTGAGGCCTACAGATTCAGGGGCTGGTGCTACACTGGTTGTCTTCACCTGGATTTGTTGATGTGTATGGGATAACAGAGCTAGGTCATCTACGAAATCCAAACTTTCTGTCCAACGTATTCCGTGCTTCCACTAAGATGTTCAGTTTCTAGTAATAATCAATTCCAACCTAAACTAATCCCTACAAACCCCTCAACCAAGCAAGTTATAAATTAACCTAATTAAATTACTGATACGGACTAAATAGAAAAAAGGACACTTCAAAAAAATAGTTCCAAAGTAGGATTTCATCCTACTTCTCTTTGTGTTTGTTATTCATTTGTCATTGTTGTTTGTAGGGACCTTATTGTTTATAGTGTATCATAGTAGTTGTATTTTTTGTATTTGTGAATTTGCAGTTGAAAGCTTTTCACAATATTTTACGACTTCTATATTTTATCCTCTAGGGAACTTATATCACATACCCATTTTTGAATACATTCCGACTGTGTTCACCAGCTTGCTTCAATATTCGCTGAGCGTTTATTGTGTACCTTGTGATTGGATTTGTAAAGTATATTTCATTTGTTATTTAGTAATAACATACCGATTTTGTCCAGGTTTTAAATTATCGATGAAAATCCTTTGGAAATGAAATGCATTTGTCTAATGAACTAAAAGTTTATCCAATTTTGTCTTGATAGAATAAATTAAATTAAATGATGAAAACTAATGCCGTGATCAAATGATTACAGTAGAAAATTACGTCTGTTACCAGTTTAGTGAATCAGATATTTGGGAGGGACTATAATTTATGGACGAACCAATCATTTTTAGGATAGCAGAACTAATTCACTCATTTGGTTAAATATCATTTTGACATTATAGCTGATGTCAGTTCGTGATGAAAACATCAAATCTAATTCTTAACCCTAACGCTCAACTGTTAATCGTAATTCCGCAAACTAGTCTATAATCCCCATTTAATCCTAGTAGGTAGGTGGAGATCCCAAGGTCATTTTACCGTTGCTCAAGGGTCATCCATAAATTATAGTCTCACCGACATCTTAATAAGTGTTGAATAAAGAATAACTTTTACAACGGGAGATTTGGCGATATTGAGGAGTTTGACGTTTAAATCATGAATTGAATTTTATTTGACAACTAATGAAAACCAAGAAAGATACTGGTTATTTCGTTTTAGAGTGAAACTCAAGAAAAGTTTGCACTAGCGACCCCACAGGTGCTTCTTACATATCACTGGTTGTCTGACTGAAACTAGTTCATTATATAAAGTGCCAGGTGAGAAGATATAAAATTTAGATTTATTTAAAACAGGATGTGATAAAAACAATCGGTAGTCTGACAGATGGTGGAATAATATTCAAAAAGAAAACTTAATTACACAATAAAGCGAAAAGCTGCCAACTCCAAAACCAAAACTATATAAGACGAACTGTTAATACGACACATTAACAACGAAAACAGCTTGAACAATAATTATATGTTGATTCGAAAACGGGGGACAGTATAGTGTGGAATGTGACTTTTTCTACTTCGTAATAGCTATTTACTACATAGCATTCTATCTCATTTTTTTAAGTGAGCTAATTTTACTGTATTCACGTAATGTCACAATTTACTTCGGATATGTTATTTGCGTTAAACTCGTAAGTAAGAATAAGAATTTGATATGCGCATTGTGACCTAGAAAAGACTTTCTTGATCGTGATTGGTTCAGCAGTATATTTATGACTTACCATTTATTTCCACACTATTGCTGCTATCTTGACGTGGTGGTCAGGCTTGTCTATCGTGATGAACCAATCGAGCTATACTGGTTGTAACAACTGTTCCTCAAGGTCCTACCATGCCAGACAGGTCGGTTGGAGAGTGGCAAAACTAAAAGCAGCAAACCCGAGGTCCGAAGGCGAAGTCGTACTGCTGGATGTGTAGAGGTGTGAAGGCAGTAAGGTGCTTCCTTTAGGCAACCAGCATGACAGCGATGCTGCCTTCCCACAAGGAGGTGTGGGGTTAGAAAATATCGACCCTAAAAATGTACACCCCATCTTATCCTACAGGTTTCCCTCTCCGGCGGTAAGGTCCCAACAAGTACGGAGCCAACACGAAAACTAATCACAAAAAAGTCGTGTGTGACCGACCTCAAGAAGTTGTCCCTTGGGCACTGCGGTCACACTCTCAGGTCACTAAGATCACGCCTAACCCGATTGCCTTTTCAGGTACCTTGAGAAGATTCCTTTGCATGGTGTGGGATACCGGGAAGTAGTAACCCCTCTTAACTATAACAGCACTCAAGATTATGTATTCATAATTAATTTCCTTCTTCAATTCTTAATATTCTTCCTTCCTCGACTTTCACCTCTAAACTTCGTCTTTCGGCTTCCTCCTCAAGTGTCACCATGGCCAACGATCCTAGTGCGCGAAACACTGCCCCAGGTATACTGTAACCTCACTTCAAACTACACATTTAGGCCTTCAACGTACGTATCTGATGTCGAATAGGCCAGCAGACCTCCTTGGCTAGTGACCTAGAATCTCATCCCATTGATGTATTCTGTCTCCGAAACACACACAGGATCCTAGTGTGGTCATTCACTTGGCCTCACCCCGCCAAAATGGAGAGCCAACGTGACACATTTTCCATTTATCTGGCTACTCGATGACTCGTTCTTGTGGGCTGGCAGGTTTAGGCATAGGACTAAGTACGAGGGCAGAACAAACACCACTAGGATGGATTCCTGTTAAAAGTCGCCTATGTGCTGTCCGGGTAAACGGTTCCGTAAGAACTCGGAAGGATAGGGACACACGTCGTTACCTTTTTGTCGTTTCTGTCTACGCTCCCACTGGCTGCGGTCTGAATGAAGTAGAAGATGAATTCAACAGAAAGCTCTATGAACCTCTTCAAAAAGCTAAACGCTCAGACATAATACTCGTAGCAGGTAACTTTATTGCCCGATTAGGTAGCTTTAACCAAAAAGAAAGACATTTAGGAGCGTATCTTGGTATTTCGGTTCAGCAAACAGATAATGGTGACGGTCTTTTTCAACTGTCCTCAGACAATCGTTTATTTCTAGCAAATACTAATTTTAAGCATAAGGAGAGACATCGTCTAACATGGTGACCTCCTGCACCAAACCAACGATGGATTCAAATAGGCCATAATAACATCACTCATCGTTAGAGAGGCTCGATAGAAGACTGTCGCTTGTTCTAGAATACCTGTTTTGACTCTGATCATATTGTAATACAAGCACGTATTTGCTTGCATCTCAATGGAAACAGAAAAGCCACATTAAGAAGACCCATTAGAATTAAACTGAGTGAGGAGAAAGTCAAA